CACACTGCGTGAGGAAGTCATCTGTAGCGTTAGATGCAGGCAGTCTTGAGGGCTCTAAGCAAGGCGAACCAAAAAGCCTTTGCTTGGCCTTATCCTTAAACCTAGCAGCCTGTTTCAAAACTTTTGGCAGCAAAACTGTATTAGTCTTCAATCAGTTAGGAATGAGAACACCAGAAAAGCTGCTTAAGACAGCGAGTGAATCATAAGTCCCACCCACTCCGGCAAGATTGCTATTGAAGGCGAATACTGGTTGAAGTCCAGTAAGAGTAATGTTACTCAACCAGACCTTGGTCAACTTTCTTACTCAGTGATTTAGAAAAGTGGCCAGTTGTCAGAAATAAGTGGTACACTAAAAAGCTACCTCTAGCACCAGAACCAACGGTCATCGTCCAAAAGGCAAAGGACTATTTATAACTGTGTGGAAAACCTACTACCTGATACAGGGTTCAGTGAATCTGAGACTCGAACCCACCAGACCAATAAGAGCGTGACCCCTGTGAATTAGGGAAATGACAAACTAGCTACCAGTACCATAGTACTTGTCGTAGGTCACTGTGCTTGCGATATAAAAAGTGGAGAAGTGGAGGCAGAGATTTCATCCCAGAGAATGCTTATGCACTTCATGGAGCTGGAATGTTCGTGCAAAAAGATGTCTCTCCTACTGATCTGATCGTAGAAAGAGAAACAAACGGATAAGGTGGAGTTCTGGTTCGCAGCGGCAGAGAAAGATCATTAATTCTATATTAAATTCATCGTAGTTGCACTCTCCCATCGTGCCCGAGTTCGACACTTACATTAACCATTTTAAGCGATGACATGAAAGCCCTCGGGAAGGGAAGAAAACTTACTTGATTGGTCTCGCTGCATAGTGAGCAGATGCTTGTGGTTTCCTGAACAATTGAACCGAGTAGTGTAATGTATTGGCAGAGAAGGTTTCAACATAATTATCACCTCGGAAGTGTTTCTTGAAAGATCAGCGATACTGAAGCGTGACCAAAGGGGTTTATTTGCTACTTAGGTGATGGGTGCAAACACAGAAGTGGTGGCGTCATCATTTACGCAAAGTATCCCCTATCTGTGAGGGCTGAGAAAACGGTTGAATACGAAGAAGAAATGCATTAAGCGTCACGCTACCAACCAAATAAATAGATTTTTATTCTCACATTAATAATTTAACATGAGAGAAGCCGGTTTACAGGCATCATCACATTGACATATGTTGAAAGATCTACAAGATTTTACGGGTCCTGAACAGTACGGAGAGGTCGTTTAACTCCATCAAAAACACCAGATCGCGGTTACGAGACAAAGAAAATACCACTTCCAGCATATGCAGTGCGTCAAAGTGAAGATAATAAAAATTTGCGTTCCCATATAATAGATTTAACATGACAGATACCAGTTCACAAGCACCGTCAAAATGATGATTTTGAAAGTTTACAGAATAGTGCCGGGAATCATATAACTCATGTAGCCATTTATTGGTATTCATAAACTTGCTAAAACTTGCTGCCGCGGGTATGGATTTCCATCTGTCATTACACAGATAGGTTCCACTGTCAACGACGGAAGCGCGCAATGTTCGGAGTTTGCGCTATAACCGGACGACGTTGTCATTCCATTTGCTTAGTTCCTTATTTAGTAATATAAACACCCATTCACCGGAAAATTCTCCGATTTTTAGCTTTGCTAACCACAAAGGGCCTACTTATACGATCTGGATTATCAGTAAGTATCCGCAGTCACGTAACCAAGGTGAGTGTCGAAATCTATGCATTTCCAGTTCACCATGTGATGTTTAGAGGTAGTATACATTAATTCCATTGGGATTACTCCTGGTAGTAGATGAAGGTAGACGTTGAGACGGTTAATGGTCTGAGTGGCAGCAGTCACATATGGACTTCAGGCATCGTTCATATTAGCGTAAGCAGCATCATTCGAGAAGTGTATTTGATGCATGGTAACTGTTACCTAAAGAGATCACTTGATACAGAGTACTATAGAACATGTAGTGTGGAATTACTACAGGCAAGTCATATTCCGAGCCAAAAGGTATATTGGTCCCTCGTTTGATCATTTGTTCAGAATGTTTGTGCCACTGTGGCTGTTGGGAAACTTTAGACGGTTCGTTGCAAGAAGAATCCTGACCAGCTGATGATTTGATTGTGAAGATGTTCCAGAAGCCGCGAAAGATTGGAAGCAATCCAACAATTCATGGGGTCAAAGAGCAGGTATTATTTCCACTAAGTAGATATGTCCAGAATGAAGTGCAAATCGCAAAATGTCGAAATGGTCGTAGTTTGATGCGACCATGAATATGATGCAAAAGACTCCCACTTAGCAGGCTGATTATTCGGGATGGTAAATGTAGACGGCTATCTAAAGGAGATAGTTTTACGCTTGAGTGACTCCAATGCGTATTCCATGAATTGTCAAACGCGGACAAAAACAGTATTTTCTGCCCTTTACGAAAAAATAAAAAAACATTAGTCTTCCTCCTGATTTTATTAATGATAATGTGAAGATATGGTGTATTTTAGCTCGTGCTAAATGTGTCGTCGCAGTTTGCCTGTCCCAGATATGCCTACAAAATTATCTCTCCTAGGACACACTAGAACAGCCAAAAATTTGAAATGAAGCAGTAAAGTGTACAGAGGTGCTCTTGCTTTGACTGAAGAAATGGAAACAGAATAGTTAATTGAGGGTGTCAAGGGAAAAGCGGAGGTCAGGTGTAGATATCTCATCGAGATCTACACTCACAAATCTTCAACGTATACGGCGTTAATGGTAGGGCATTAGTGCGCGCAAGAATAAACTTTGTTTTTCCCAATTACAGTGGCAAGTTCTGGACAGAAGTCAAGCTGAATATGCTGCCATCAGTGGGACTGGATGAACTGGGTCCAAAACTGTCCCGAAAGCTCTACTGAGATCTAAGTGGCCCGCAGAGTACTATATTTGGACTGCCCACCACTCGAAGCATATTTGCATTTGGCTGCAGAGATGCCGTAGTCACGACAACTAACAGCGCGGCCTTTAGACAGCCATGGTCAAATTCGTGATCGATTTGCTTGACTAAGACTGCACCGGGGATCCTGAAAAGGATAGTCAAGGAAACCGCTGCGCATACATGCCGACAAATTTCAGTTAGTAATTTAACAAGGCACCATATTCTAGTTTGGCCGTTAAGCTGCAAAGCATTTGGGGTCATTGATAATATAACCGCGTGGATCAGGCCATTCCACACTGGTTGAAGATGGGGAACCAGGATGGGTTTTCAGTTCTCCCCTCGAAAGTCAGTGCATATTAGGGTGCTGCAAGGCATTCTTAAGTCCGCTGCTGTTTCGTCCATACATCAATGAACTTCGGTGCATCGAGTAATTCGTCCTAATTTTGTACACCAGTGATGTAGAAATCCGGTTGAAATTGAAGGATATATATATGATATATATATATATATATATATATATATATATATGAGCACTTCGGACGAACCATAATTGTTTGTTAACATCACTGTGAAAGTGACCAGTGCCAATTGGAGCAGCCAAATGTATAAACATGTGTATATGGCATACAGGCTGTACAACCTTCAATATTGATGGGGTTCGTTCACTCTCTGTAATCCCGTAGGAGTAAGAGCCCGTTTGAGAACCGTAGCGTATTGCAAGTATACCGCAGCTGAGATTTTTCGGAAAATTTGGATAATGCATAGAAATTTCCTTTAGACAAGTGGAGATGTATGCACCACCCTCGTTCAGGTTATAAGCACTTATTTAAACGGTGACCCAAGCCTTCCGCAAAGAGTTCAGTGGATAGTCGCTCATGAAGGCCACACATACAGTATGATCCCTGCAGTGAGGAGTCTGATTTATGATAGTTCCCGCGTGATTATGCACATCCCCACATCATGGCGCAGACAACTAAGAAATTTGATCACTTCATTCAGAAATTTAAGAAACAGGGTGGATCCTTATCAATCTTCTATTCTTACTCCAACAAGACCGGATTCCCTCAAGTGACATGTCAGTGGGGCACAACAATCAGAGTTTCAGTGGCATACTGCTTTTTTGAGTCGTGTAGTCATTTCTTTGAACCGGTTTCTGGAATAAGCTGTTTTCGTTGTCAGCTGACCCACTGTAGACAGGATTGAAGATTTATTAGAGAAGGGCAAGCGTGTTATACCCTTACATCACAAACCCACGGATCTTCGACCGGTTTGATTTTCGGGGGTCATTTCGGTTGGTATGGCTTACCGGAGACTGACTCAGGACACTACCGACCCCTTTAGATCAACAGTGCTCTCTCATACTCTGCTTACCATCTTTTGTTCTGATACATTTGCAGTGGCTTCTAACTCTTCTGCAGTAACTAGTCTCATATCACTTGCTTTTATCCTCTGGGAGCGTCCTATTGACGTTTGACTAGTAGGCTGCCATTCTCGTCCAGGCGCCTGTACAACTTAGGGTCGTCAAGGACTCTTAATCTTCCCAGCAGCTTCACACCTCTCAGTCACCTCAATTCACAGGTTCCAGATGTCACAGTTTTCTCTTTTCTTTGCACTCCTTCTCCCTTGATTCCTCCGGACATGTTTTCTACCTTAACTTTACTTCCTGCTGGAGTGACACTTGAGGGACCCATCTACACCGCAGTCCTCGAAAAAACCACACTCCCTGCAGATTTAACCAACACTCAACTGTTCTTCGGGTTAACCAGGGCTAAAGCAGTCGAATGGGTAGACCTACTGCATCGGAATCCACCAAACGACTTGGAGCCGTCTCGCAAGACGTAGGATCAAGCGTGAAGAAATCACCTGGTTTACACTAGATAGGGAAACTGTAGTCACATTAGAGCTAAAGGCAAGAAAATAAAGATTTCCACGCCCGCTATTGAAGCAAGCGGAAAAAAGAATCAAGCTCCAAGCACTAGATGTAGGAGATAAGAATTATCAGTTTCTTATGCTGGCGCTACTTGTGTAGGATGTTGGGTTCATCTGATTTGGCGTGTGATTCAATGTCAAGGTTATTTTAGTGACAATGTTTGTATTTGTACCAGCGTGATTGACATTTGCAAGGTCACGTTGGCTTTAAGGCTTCCCCTCTACTCTCAGTTAATGGATTTCTATGTATTGGTGGCTTACTGACAGAGTAAGGTGTCTGGATATAAGTAAAATCAGTAATCAGTGTACTAAAATTGGTGGAATTCCACAAATTAAATTAATTTCCACTCATTTTAGTCGATAAATATTCATTGCACGTTCAAGCCTATAGTTATTACGTAAAGAATACGACTGCGGTAATGATGAGTATTTTTCTCATGATGAAGATGTACCTACAATCATGCATGAAACAACCATGGTTGTTTCATAGTATTTGCTGAATCTGTAGGGGTTTCATATTTTTTCGGAATTCCTGAAGCTGGGAATGTTGAGTCTATTAATGTAGCTTAAATCACTTAAAAAAATATTCACAAGTGCATTTGCATGTTAACAATGGCACAATTGTAAATCATTTTAGTTTTATAAAACTTTGTAGTCCCCACCGAATTAATTTATTGATATTGCGATCTAGCAATTCGACAAAATGTTTTGTAAACGGCATTAAAGATTTGGTTGTTTTCATCGCAATACATACGAAGATAGTACTAAAAGTACCAACAGCATGAAGATCTTCGTGCACTGCACTACTTACTAATATTTCTACAAATTTTATGTTTCCCTTTTTGTATGCTTTGCAACTACTTGTCTTATCGATTATGGGCTACGTGTTTTCAGATCAAATGATACCACCAGTTTTTGCTTGAATTAGTTCTGAATTTGTCAGGTACTAAGTAAAATACAACCATATAAAACATTCATATTTCTGTTGTTAACTATATGGTAGATGACTCTACCGATAACTTTTGTTGTTACGAATGGTATGAAAACCAATAGTCATAGGTGTAGAGTATCTCATAGAATTTTTACTGTTTGTTTGAGTGGACGTATTTTTTAGCATTTTTATCGACCCTTTCGTTTTGCTTGCACCTTCAAAGGTGGGGCAGTCATCTTGACCATGATTTGGATATTATCCAGGCCTTCTTATGCAAGTATACCGCGACCCTTTAGCATAATGGAAAGCGCCTCAATGTTTTTAGAAAATGCGCTGAAACAATAGTTGTCCGTCATAGTGGATTGTATCACTGCAAACGTTATATTGAAAGCATTGATGATTATCGAAGTGTTCTTTTTGACTGACACTATTGGTATTAAAAATATAGTATTGCAACTCAGCAGAAAAATACAAGTCCGTGTGCCAGGTTATGAGGTACGCCTTTCTTGTAAGCCTTTTAATACTACGCGGTTGCCCAAACAGTTATAGACAGCTATATAAAATTCACTGAATGAAAGATTTTTCACTTTAATTAGTCACGAACCGGGAATCAATAGGCTGTGATATGATGATGATCAATCCAAGTATTCTATTTTGAACCAGTAAGCATCTTACATGAATACAAAGTAGCTGGGGTCCGCTTAATTTCCATCAACGCATATACATTAATTATAAATACCCCGTCGATACGACTAATTGGTCTAGGTAATCAGATTCTAATCAGCCGGCCACACGTTCAAACCCCACTACATTTACTCAGACCTGCCATCAGCTCTTACAATAGATGTGGCTCGTAGCCTAATGCAAACACCTGCCCGTAGTTACTGAGTTTCATTGTATTACACCTTAATGTGCGCATAAACTAAGTATACCTAATGTATTGGGAACAGCTTTGAACAGTGTTTGAAAAGTATCTCCTAATGTATACGTAGGAAATTGTTATAAAGTTATGACTATGATCCAAGTGCTCGGCTGTACACTAATTTTTACTGTTTTCATATTGTCTGAAATGTAGGGTATTAACCTTTTCTTCACGCAATATGTTTGGATTACTCACCGGCTCTAATTTGACTAAAATGTGATGTCCTTTCATGAATACGTTGATGACCTTTATGGAACATGAGCTTTCAGGTTTTAGCTTATAAGACAACTGGAAACAGTCACATTGAACTTATTTGTTTAATGTAGAAAGCACTATTATTTACTAGATAGATATTGTAATACTGTTTTTCATATCAAATAATCCAACCCTATAGTCAGACAGACATATAACGTTATGGTGTAATTTGCTACTGTTTCCAGCCACCACAACGCAGGTCAGCAAAAGGAGATAAATGCAAGTGACTGTGGTAAAAAATGAGGCAAAAGGAGGTAAGGGGGGATGAAAATATGGAGATGAAGAGACGCACGGTTCCGTCCGAGCCTCATTGATGAAACTGAAGTTACATTAAATGAAGAAAGGTACAAAATATTCTCACTTTTCCTCAGTAATCGTTGTCTTCAGCATAAACTTGTTCTAAGATGTAGCTGCTGCATACGGAATTTTATTTATAGCCCTTGACTACAGTGTGGAACTATGATTCATTGACTTAAGCAATCCATATACCTACTTTGACTCAGACAACCCTCGTTAATAGGTAGTCACATTGTATACCTCCTAGGTTAGTACGTAAACTAGATCACTGAGTTGTATTGTTTTCATTATTCTTGAGTGTTTGCATGGTGAATGAAAGTGTTCAGTCTGTACTTACATTAGTTGTCGATGAATCTCTTCATACCAGACACCAACCTTGTCTAGTGAGTTGATATTATTGGTGGATATCATATCATCTCTAGTTTCTTATTATATCAGAATCGATTTACTAGCAGCAAAACTTTGTCTGTTGTGATGCGAATAAATTAAAAATCTGCCACCCAGCTAGGTCGCACAAGATGTGATGGGCAGCCACAGTCGGCTTTCGAAACTACGGTCTTGAGGAAGGGATATGATCATTACATCCGGTAACTGGTGGAATATTCAGATCATAGAGTCAGGCGTCTAGCTAGCTAGGTTCTGTGACAGTTGACTCTACTCTGCAAAGTTATAACTGCTACTTTTTGCACCCGTGTCTTGAGTTCTAGAAAACCGTTTGTTACTAACCTAAATATCCATCTTCCAACTATTGGGTTGTGAATTTGAATATGATTCGGTCTGCAGAGGTTTGAACAGCTAGGTAGTTCGTAGCTCTATATGTAGCTACACATAATCTGGAGAGCTGTGTGTTCGTTTCTCATCAATCATTCATCGACCCATCATAGAAGGTCTTGGTTAACAAGAGTCAAACCAACGATCTATGTTTTTCGAGTTTGGTGATTACATTACCCGAGATGATATAGTTCTCTGGGCAAGGAAGGTGATCAACGCACTTAGCTACCTCATTCAATAGTTTCTAGTAGCCCTAATAGTAGACGACTTTAACACTGAGGTAGAAAAGCTGAACCAATCAGTAAGGTATTTTGGAAATATTTGCAGAATCCCGTGCCAACGAACCAATAACAGTGATCGTCTGTTGTAGTTTTTTTCTGAGTCACTTTTTTCTGACCAGCACTAACTTCAGGCATAAGGAGATTCAGTCTCGCATGCTCTCTGCCGACATCAAATGAACGATGAGCACAGATAGATAGGATCGGTGAAGGATTACTGCTCTTTCTGAAGTAACAGTTTGGACTCCGATCATTCACCAGTACGGCTTGGTGTATGTGTGCGCCGGAAACGGACGCTTGTAAAGCTTGTGTATGGTCGATTGGAAGATCAAAACACCGTATACGTATTTAGGAAGAAGATAGGTAAGCATTTATCTGAACTTGACAGCAATGCACATCCTGAGGAAGCTTGGCGTGATAATAAGTCTGGTGTAGAAACAGCGGTAAAGACAGTTGTTAACCTATATCCAAAGGTGAGAAGACTGATTCCAGCTGGTTCTGAGCACAGTGAAGAGCGAAAGGAACTTAGATGTAAGTTGATCATAAGTCTTCGCGATGATCGTGAGCAGTGGTGGGTGAGGAAAGCGACAGAGATGGAAAAAACATCAGCACTAAGTAGTTCCTGCCAATTACTTCGTCTGGTTAAGAATACTGGTAAGGTAGTGATGCTGAGTGAAACAATCACCGTGGAGGATGGTACACTAATAACCTCTCAGGACCGTCAGCCAGACACTCTGAAGCAAAATTCAACTAGCCCACAGCAACGCTTCGCATACCTAGCATTCAGCTTGAACCCGAATGAGACGCAGGTGTTGGTCCTCCAACTGTCCACAAAGTTGAGAAATCTGTCTCGAACCTAAAAGGATGCAAAGCAGCAGGAACTGACAGTTTGCTACCAGAAGTTTTTAAGGATGGAGGTAGGAAATTACTGATTAGTTTAACGGAGGTACTAGGTAGTGTATAGGGACCACAAGTGTTGCTGTCAGACTGGTCTACTTCACTGATCATTCCAGTCTATAAGAAAGGAGAGAGGACTTCTTGTGGCAACCATAGGGTAATCAGTTTAAGTAATATCGTTCCCAAGATCCAAGGGTTCATAGTTATCCGATGCCTAACTAGAGCTTGAGAACAAGTCAAGCTTTGGACACGGATAAGGGTGCGTCTACTAGATTTTCGCCCTTCAACAGGTCGTGGAACAGAGGCTTACTTAGCAGTGGCCGATACTTGCCGCATTTGTTCACCTAAAGGCGTCATTTCACTCCGTCAACTGTGAGGTGTTGTTGCAGTCTGACTCTGAAAGGTTTACCTAGCAAGTATATAACGCAAATCAAATCTTTACTCGAAATCAAGCAACTGTGTAAGAGCGTATGGGGAGTTGTCATATAAATTGACGACAACTAGTGGTGTTTGTCAGGACTGTCCACTGTTAGTATTCCTATTTATCTTCGTTATCGATTTACTAAAGTGCATAACTTTATGTACTTCTGACTTTGCAGGGATTGATCTTTTCCCTGGAACTCACCTGGTTGACTTGGGTTACGCAGACACTGACAAAATTCAGGGTCTTGTGAACGCGTTGAGCGAAAATCTGAGTTTGTTTGCCATGCGTTTAGCTGGTACCTGTGAAATTAAAGATGATGCCTCAGGACTGATCTGGCGATACTCCCACTTTAATGACGGGAAGTTAAGCGGTAGGATGTGTCGGCTGCTTCGCTTACTTAATTTGCATCAGCTCAAACGGGCTGGTTTCTGACTAAACCTCACCTACGATACAGAAGGCTCGTATGGCGTTTACCAATTTTCGTCTTTTCTGGCACCGACTTGGGAGATATCCGACTATCTATCAACGGACGAATATACTGCACTGTATTCCGTTCTGTCCTGTTGTACGGCTGTGAGACATGGTCGTTGAAGGTAAATGTAAAGCAGTCATGGTTTTTTACCACAGGTCTCTTCGTAGCATTGCTCGGATATTGTGGGATCATCATGTTGGCGATGTTGAGGTCAGACAAAGGGTACTAGGCGATGTAGGTAAGCCGATTGGATAGGCTGGGAACCTTCATCGGCTGAGATGGCTTAGATATGTGTTGTGCATGCCGAGTCACCACCTATCTCAACATGCAGTGCTGGGAGAATTTGCAGGCTCAGGTGACCAAACCAAGACGTGACACCAGTCGAAGAAGTTCCTGACTATTGGTCTGGGCCGTGCGGGGAGGTGTAGACTGTCTTGTTGGAGTCCTCGAAACGATAGGAATCAGCAATTAAGGTCTTTTGGTCACATAGAGGAAAACCGGTCACAGTGGCGCAAATATATTTACTCTTTTTAGGTTTGAATGTTTTGCGTGGTCTTCATTTTTCAATTCCAGGTCCTCCTTCCCACCTTTGTCTACTTTGATATGAGTCTTTTTCTACCTTGTTCTTTATATGCGACTTTGGGTTATGGCAGCGTGAACTGATGTACACATGTGCAAGGTTATGCGTTGATTTTGTCATATTTCTAACAAGCAGGGTTTTTAAAGACTTACGAAAATCTACTATCCCTCAATGCTCCAGGTTTGTTGATCTTTTCTTTTAGATTTGAGTGATACAACTTACATAATTTCGTGTGAGCTAAATCTGATAGTGGCAGACAGGTTAACAGATTGACTGTCATTAAAGTTGTTACAGTTAGCAACAGCAGGTAAAAGGGAAGTGAACAGAAATAAGATGCCATTTAAGTATCCAATACTCTATTGAACGGCAGCCACAAACTGGTTGATTCGCTCTCAAGAACAGTTTCATTCATTTAACCTGAAAGTCGACCATGCTTCTCTTTTCTTCGTGATATACCTTCCCGATATCTTCCACATTCTTCATATACCACTGATGATAATCGCAAAAATGTGTATCAACTACTTTAGTGTTTAGTTGTGCTTCGATGAAACCATTTATTTAAGACAAAGTAACCGAGATTTAGTGATTTGGTTAAATCATAAGCTTTAGAATCCCAATTGTTTTGTGGTGAAATTCATCTGAGGTTGAGTATAACCATTATACTCCGATAACTGTAGAGTGGATACTTCTGTAGTTGCCCTCTTTATTAGGTTTATTTTTATATTCTGAGAAGCTAAGCCTTACTCCTATTGTTATCTTGAAGGGTTCTGCTGATTACTCATTTAAATGTATTTTTTAAGAGTTCAAGATAAAACATTCTTTTCAAATATTGTTTCAAGTTTAATTAAGTTAACATACTCCTAGTCATGTATGCTTAAGTTTTATATTTATTCCTTGAAATTTAAAGAATCTGTTATTTTCACTTATGCTTCTATTTTCGTCACACAGGTTACGCTATTGTACTTTTAATTGTCTACATACTAAGAGTATACTGGATTTTCAATCAAAGAATGTCTTCCCCAGTTGATCCAGAAGATTATTCATTTGTAGTGTATGGTGACCCTTTTAGCGACGATGAAGATGGTTAGTTTTTGAGAAACAGTTAAAACTATTTTTTGTAGAACAAAGCAGATTTCGTGGTCTTGCCTTTGGCAAACGAAGGCCTGTTCCATCTGCTTACGAACAGCGAGTATTAAATGAAAAGGGTAGACCTATGAGATTTCATGGGGCATTCACTGGAGGGTTTTCTGCTGGTTATTTTAATTCAGTTGGGTCAAGAGAAGGTGAGTCCAGAAGTTTATTAGTTGAATTTATGATTGAAAAGCCATTTTGTGTTGATTTCATACACATTAGTTACCGAATGGTAACCAATTTAGATTTTAAGTGGTCTTACCGATGTTTACTAGTGAAAAGCTTAGTGTGAAGGTTCACATCCTATTCAATCGGCTTGCTTATATCGCCTAGTACCCTTCATTTGACCTCAACATTACTCACACGGTGATTCCCCCAAACATGAGTAGTGCTATGAAAACAACTTTGATCGGAACTGTGTAACAACTTCCCGTACGGATTAGTACAAATTTATCAAAAGAGAAATTTCAAGAATATATTCAGAAAAGATTCACTACCTTCGCTTCATTTACTGATAACAAGGAAACCACATCACGATCGTTACTATCTTTGATTTCAAGCAATATGTGGTGACATCTGGAGCCAATAAGTCACATGACCGCTCAAACCCTATGCTGGGGGTTGATGTGCCAATAGAGTCTTACCCAACAAAATTATCGTTCACCTCACAGCGCCATGTCATACGCTGATTGCCTCTGCTTCTTTTAACCAGTCTTTGAGTAAACAAGGAGTAGAAAATGTGAGAGCCTCTAGGACGACATTTACAACACATGTCAAAGCCACCGAAGCTAGTGTTTCAGGGTGACGTCACTCGATGGATATCTATCTTCGTCATGCTCAAAAAGATGCCATCTTACTTCCGAGTTAATTACATGATGTTTTCACCGGATACTAGCAATTCTCCAAAGACAGTGGTGATCGATCACCCTGAGACCTGGTTTCACAGTCATGGAGCGGAACTGCGTATGCCGGTGCGTTATATGCCGTATAGTGAAGGTGGCGTTATGGTAGCACCAAGGGTGACTCAGGTGAACGTATGAAACTTTGGGTTTGATATGCGTTTGGAGACCTCACCAGTCAAACTTTGGTTGCTATTCATGCAACTACCCAAGTACATCAGCTTCGAACAGTTAACCGCATAGATTTCATACGTATAAAGTGTAAGATAATGCTTCAGGACTGGTATGGATCGACTTCTAATTTAAAGTAGGGGGTCGAAGTCGAAATGCACACAGCAACTACATGCACGTTCGTGCAGTGAGCAATGAGCCACGCATGTTTTGTGGAGACTAATGATACCACTTGGATGCCCAGACCCCAGTGGATGAAGCGGGCTTGGAATCCATGACCGACTGGATTTTCATCCGTGCCTAGACCAATGAACCACAGCTTCCATATCGTATAGGTAAACTAACTTTTCAACAACTCCTAACAGTTATTCAAATCATTTCATTGAGATCTTGTTTAAGAGTGTCTATGGTGCAGTGAAAAGGAGTGATCGAGCTTGAGGCGAACATGTCTGTTTTCCTATCTGCATTAGAGTGCAAACTTTGGGGCCTGTAAACTTAAACGGAATGCGTAGTTTCAGGATAACTTTGTAACATCTAGCTCTGAAGGAGATACTTCTATGAAAGAAGCTGTTTAGCAACTAAAAGCAGTACAAACGGATCACTAGTTCATTAGGTGGCAAATAGATGCGTGAAATAAAGACATATGCATGTGATGACTGAAAAACAACATTGTCCGTACTAATGATAACAGAAAAGATGAACTGACACCAAGTTGAATTATTGCGTGAAAGGTTTGCGATGCAGCAGGTTTAATTGCTTCTGATAAGATTTAGCCGGCGCTCGGAAGTCGTCTTAAAAATATTCTACTATTTTGTATAGGGGATAAAATACTGTCCGAAGCAGGTGGTTATCCTAGAGGACAGTTCTCCAGTTTTTTTGAGTTGAAATCTAATTCACTGAGAGAGAAACGTCAAGTACTGTACTCCCTTGGACTTTGGTGACCAAAATAGGTTTGTCCGCCACTTGTCTATTCCTTTTGTGGAACTTATCCGCTGTTGGCTTGGAATTGAGGTTTTCTACTTACTCTAGATGGACCACCGTATCTACCAATCTACTGATAAGCGTTAGATGTTCACTTTTTCTGTCTAACTTTTATTGAAGCTTCCTATCAGCCTAATAGCAAAGTTAAGGATTTCTCTGGCAGAGGTTGTAAATTGATGGCCGCGTGAAAGCATTTCGAGAGGATATTGGGGCTTATTCCACTGTCAATCATATCAAGAAATTTGAGTTGTGAATGTTCACCTAAATTGGAGTGTAATGTAATCTTTCTAATGTTTATCCTCATTTAATTTGGTTTGTCTTTCTACTTGTAAATTCATGAGTATTTTGTTTAACTCATCATTTTATTACCAATTTTCTAGGATTCAAACCTAAAAGCTTCCACTCTTCTCGTAAAACCCGACAAAGAGATACAGATGAAAAGTTTGCTCAGCGTCCGGAGGATTTTATGGACGACGAAGTGAGATTCATAGGCTTTTTAGCTATATAAATATTACTGTTCGTTTGTTTCAATTGAATTTATATTTTAACGCAAGTGCATGTCAAAATATTTTTGTACCTGTGTTTAAAAAAGACTAGGGGAAATCTAGCATTTTCGGAAAAATGAGTTAGGTTGGACAATTTCATTTTATCAGTAACTAATTTATTTCTAACGGTGCAAACTACCTATGCACTAAAAAAATTGTTTTTGCATCTGAAGGAAGTCATCATTCATTATATTCCTTTAGTCCTCAGGGAGTATTGTCTCATAGCTGCATATTGGAAAGTAGCGTACTACTCAGTTGTGTACTGAGCTATCCAATATCTCTTGTACTATATTTGATGTCCATTGTGAAATCTTGAATCAATTTTGAGGTTTTTTTTGAATGAAAAAAATATTGCGTTAACTACTTGGTAAAGTGGAGTAGCTGGAGCTGTAGACAAAGGTTTTGAAGGAATAATTTATTTAGTTCTCAGGTACTTTTTATGTGCCTACTATTCAGGGCGAGAAATCCGTAAATAATGTATGCTAAAGAAGAGCAACAGGTCCTGGTAGGATACTTTCAGAATTCCTGAGGAAGGTGGTACATAAATATTAGTAAAACTAAGCAAGTTGTTCGCTAGGACATGATAGTCAATACTTTTCCATTTTACTAGTCTCAACTGTGCTCATCATTCGCGTTCATAACCAAACCTGAAGACGATACACAACATAAATCAAGTGTTACAGTATATCACCAAATTTGTCCTTTATTCAGCAGATGCTTACATTAAATTCTTCTTAACTTTTCGTAGGATTTCGGTGAGTTCGGAATCGCTCCAAGACGTATTCGACCAACTCACGAGTTTGACGATACTCATGTACGTGATACACTACAAATAGCACTGGGTGAACAATCTGTGATTCCACAAGCTGGTTCACTTTTGAAAGGATTAATTGTAGCTACTAGGTGAGATTCACTGTTACTTTGTTCTATTCCTGTACATAAGCTTATTGTTTGTCCATCTATCTCGATTCCCATATATTAGACATTCCTTTCTTATGTAGCCAGCATTTCCTCATTACCTGTGTTGCTTATACATATTGATTAAATAAGAGGGTTGTGGATGGATTCCAACCGCTGGCATCTGGTCTCTATACCAGCAAGATAACGAGTTCCAACCACCAAAGATGCCTCATTTTTACTCCAATCACTAAGTGACTCGTTTGAATTTTTTCTAACGAAATGGATGGATTTGTTCATGCTTTAGTATACTAAATTATCAGCCATGTCTGTTTATGTCAATTTGAATTCAGTAGCTGACTGATTTGTAAATATGGTGTCTACAAAAGCCGTGGTTAGTAGGTTAAACTGATTGTGTATGTGGCTGAAAGAAAATTTGTCTTATTTGGCTTTAAATTAGTGGCATTCAAGCAGTCCGCTCTGACGTTCTACCAACTGTTGTCCAAACTCATATTTTAAGCAATTTTTCATTAAACATCACAAATTATTCAATATAGATTGGAAGTCAAATTGGTATACGGTGATAGTGGAGATGTAACTCATTGCCTAAAGCATTTGTATTTTAAGTACTGAGTCCTGCATTCATTTTCTTTTTTCACTTGTTTCATCCTTGGCAACCGGGTATTAATTAGCATAAGCCCTCACACATTAAGCGAATTCTAGCCTAGTAGTACATAAACCTATATCCTGTCTATTTGGATTTTGTAAATTCTAATTGGAAACTCCTGGAAACATGTATTTACATACGTTTTCCAGTTATTATGATGAGAATGTGTAAAAGTAGCCACTCCTTTGTTTATGTGGTTTCATTTCTCCATTGTCCTGACGTTTAAGAAGGTAAATCAGAAGACCGTTGTGTACTGAATTTTACTTCTGTCATTTCTTGGTTGCTGAGTGATAGCCTATTACACAATGGTCGAAAAAATACTAACCTTAACTTTTTCCCTAAGTATGCTTGTCTCATCATAAACGTAATTACAGTTTGATACTGTTTTCGTCTTAAATGTTATTTTATTATCTTTTTAGTCAGTAAGAGACAAATACATTGGCTTCAATGGCTTTTGGTAATTGTGGTTTTGTTTTCCGGAAGATTTTACGTGTCTGAGGGGGGAAGGCTGTCGAATAATCTTTGTATATTAATAACCTAAACATATGAAACCTGGTAACACAAAAGATATCTTTTCTGACCATTAATACTTCCCTAAATTCATTATTTCGAACTAAAACAAACAATAATTTTGATGACTAGGTTTGCAAAGGCGAATCCTCGTAATCTTTGTGACAGGTGATACCTTCTTCAGTCATACTAATTGAAAATTGCGACGAATGCTGACAGTTTTACTTAAGATATCAGAGACTTTGAAATGTCAGGCATTGATTCAGTATCTACTTTATGAGTTTTATGCTATTTGTGCAGTTTTTGAGAACCGGTTACGGTGTAATTTAGTGGCATGCGCCTGTATTAAACTGTCCCGTTTTCCGACAGTTTGCATTGCCTCTCTGACTAAATCAGATCAGATTCAATTTTGTTTGCTATCATTTGTACTTGAAACACGAATTAGTGGCAGCGTAAAAATCAACAAGTGTGCAGTACAATATAATGTAACAGGATTATAAAGACCGAACGGAATAAAGAACGACAGAATACTCAAAACTTATGAAGTAATCAGCCAAAAACCATAATTCAAGCTACTTTACTATTTTTCTTTTTGTACCATTGTCAGTATGAACGACAAACGCATCACAATTACCACTAGTTTTGATTCTGACTCATTTCAAACTACTGTTTCGCTCAGTCTGCATGTTCCCGTGTAGAATGTAAGCATGCACTAAAAGATGCCAGCCCAAAGCGACATTCATTCATACCTCACCATCATGTCATGCGCAGATCGTTTCTTCACTTCTAACTGTTGCCACTGTCAATGTACTGCAAGGAAGAGTGTGTGCAAAATGTTTCCAGGATGCTGTAGGGAGGGATTATTTTGAGTTGAATCTAATCATCGGGAAATAAGACATTTGCTGATTATCCTTATTTGAGCACTTCTACACGAACTGCTTTGAATGGACATGAAGAGTTGCTGAGGATCCCCAACTGGAAGGCATTAGATTGTTCGATTGGGTGGAGGTGCATACATCAAAATGTTTGCATACCTCGCTTTAGAAACCAGGAAGCTATCTTAACACAGATGAAAGTTGTCTACATTGGCATATGTTACTGTACTGATAGAAATCTAAGGTGGTTCTATACAGTGAATCCATCACTTGAATCTGTTTGTGTAGAACAACGCCAAACTCAGTGAATGGAATCATGCTTATTTGACTGGAAGACTCTGTTGACCCGTGTCAATATTTTGCGAGTTTTCATATTCTGCATCAGTGAATTTTACTATCTTCTGATTCTGTCTACGATTTTGAATGGTTAACCGTTGGTAAAAATCTTTCAACATCAGTTATAAATTTAAAGATCATGTCTCAGAGTGATTGTGTAAATTAGCAGTGAATTGAGAGTTTGTCAATCAACCGTGGATGCAGGTTTATTTAACTATTCTCTCTATTCGTTTTTCGTTATAGGGGGACACTTGCAGAAAGGCTATTACGACGTCTTGGATGGAAGAATGCACATTCACTTTTGTTAAATGATGATGATACGGTCGAAAATTCAAATGAAAACAAAATAAACGATGGCAAGGAATCTAACACAGATAGTGATAAATTTCCCAGGGAAGAAGAAAATTCAAGTAAGATGTACTACATTCCTCTCACTTCATTGTTTATTTGGAATCTGATGTCTTAGTATAGATTTCATACATATGTGTTACCTATGCCTAGTCACCGCCTATTTTGATAAATAACGTCTGCCAAAGTAGGCTTAGACTGAGAAGAGGTTAACAATTTTACTATAGATATTTTTATGGAGGTCTCCCTCTTGTCACCTGATTACACTGAGGTTGACCTAATCACAGGAGAATTTTCATTAGACCTAGAATATGCAGGTGACATAGTCAGTCCTGTTAGGTGAAGACGCTGACAAGATTCAGAGTCTTCTAAACACTTTGAGTGGGAATTTGAGAATGTTTGGGATGCGGTTCTCACCAGCCAAATGCAAATTGTTGCTCCAGGGTTGGTCTTTAAGGGTGCCACGGCTAACAACAGAGAGTGTAGTGATTGAGTATGTCGACCACTTCACTACTTACCTGGGAATTAGGATCAATCCTACCCTAGTGGCTCAGTGACCGATGAAATCTCTGCACGGATACAAACGGCTCGGTTGGTTTTTACCAACTTACGCCACCTATGGCGCCGCCGTGATATCCGATTGTCTATTAAGGGTGGTGTGTACTGCACCTGCACAGCAGTCCGGTGTGTTCTACTGTATGACTGTGAAACATGGCGATTGAAGGTGGAAGATATAAGAAGGCTTCGAGTGCAAATGTAGTATATCACCCTTTTGATACCTGATAAAGCTACTCATAATCTGTATTTAACTTCGCTTTCTGATTTGACAATCTGATATAATTGCTTTTGTCTACGTTACTGTTGTGGTTTGAAATCTGCATACATCACGCTAAACCATAAAGCCTTATTCTTTAGACTGTAAAGCCATGGTAACATTGAGTTTTATGTTTAGCATGATTTTAAGAAATTGATAAGTTCCTTCCAATTATGTACTGAACCAGTCAGTTTGTGAACTTAACAGGTGTTACTGAAGATTAAAATCTATTACGCAAATGGCTGTTAACTCAGTCGTATGGCCTAGTTGTTTGACTATCCAGTGTTTGGCTTGGGTCTTTGGCTTAGGTATTTGAAACTAAATGGAGCCGCACTTATGTATCCATATCACGTAGGTTCTAAATGTGACACTATTCATTTTTAATTCCAGTATTAAGCATCATCGGAATACTGACGTAAAGTACTTCACAGTCATGTTGGGGCATATGTACTCTGATACCAAATGTTTATCTCTGTTAGTAGTCTTTTTTATTAGTTGAAGACAATAGATCATATACTAACTAATAACTTTTTTGGTTTCAAAGTGTCTACAATGTTCGCAAAAATTAGTTTTGCTGCTAAAACAAATACATTTGGTTTGGGATATTCACCGTTGGACCCAGAAGTTGCTATGGGACGGCGTAAACCGGATTCACATGATTCTGAAAATATATGGTCGGAGAGACATCCTGAAGAATCTGTCAGCGCACTGCTACACAGACAACAGAAAATTCGAAGTGACAATGAATTTGACCTTAAAAGTGGATTGAAACGTCGTGGTATAACTGGTAGGTGATTTAGTATGATGTTCATTTCTATACAGTGTGATTATCTATTCGTCATCATGCATATGAAGAACTATTGAAACTATTATTCCTATATCTTCTAACGTCTTTTCGTCTTCGACTTTTGACGTTCGTTCTCTTGTTTACCTTTCCAGGTCATGCTTTTGGTGTAGGTGCGTTAGAAGAAGAAGATGCTGATGTGTACGAACAAGACCGTTTGGCAGAATATGATTGGGAAATAGGCGGTGGTGAGTCAGATGATGACTGTGAGGAGGAAGAGGATGCGGAACAAGCTGAAATAGAAGCCGCTAGAGTTGGACGCTTGTCATCTGCTCTTACAAAAAAGTCGAATAATAATTCATCTGGACGTATTAGAATCATCGATGGATGGACGGCTCCTTCTCACAATCGTAAGTTGTTTTACTGAATTGATACACCATTTTATAGGTTGAACTGGTGTATAATCTAATAAAGCCCATTCATTTAGTGGTGTGTTTTTACTTGGTAGTGACGCGATTGTTTATCGCGTTGTTGTTCTGTCGGTTAGTCAATGTTGATATACAGATTGAGAAGACTTATTTGGAACTTGTTTTAATATTTTATCTTAGCTGAGTAACAGATATGTTAAGGATTTCTAACTTAATTTCTGGGATACTTGAAAAGAAAACTGAAAAATCACAACGAATCAGCGTGTCTAAAAAATCCGCAAAGTTTCTTCAACTAATCATATATTTTCTGCGTATATGATTGAATAGCCTCTAAATGTATTACGAACTACAGAAATGTTTACCAATGCGTTATTATCTCTCATATCAGAGGTTAGGAGAAGTTGGATTTCGAGAGTTCGGTTTAGGTTCTCAGTGTTCACTGCTCAAATTTATCAAAGAATTGTGTTTATCTTTAAGATTATGTCAGCTTGTTCGACGAACTGTGAAGGGATTCGTGTTTCATAGTTATAAAGAGACTTTGTTACTTATAACCGTTGGACTGTATCTTGAAAATGCATAACATCTTATCATAATATCGTCAGTCACTGACATGCATAATAGCAATTAAACACAACTCTCAAGAAAAACTGGACGTGAATTTCTTTCTCTTGTGCTGCATATTTGACTGATATATTTATTCGTTACAACAGAAATGTTTTTGAACTTTACAACCTTAGTAAAACTTATGCTTTTATGAAGCCCCATTGGGCACGAATGAAGGTATATTGTTCTGTTAGCTTTATATGTCACATTAAGATGGTGCAAATAATAAGCCATATTTAAGAACGCTTATTGCCAATTAAATGAGGGCATTTTGACAGACTTGTATTGTTTCATAGATAGCACATTGTAATGTTACTGTTAGATGAGTATTGTATAGCGTTTCCCCCATAAAAATCTTCGCAGCATACGTAAATGTGATTGGCTCTAATGTGGACTAAGTTGCACAGTAGTTAATTTGTTTAGATGATGAAGGAATAAATAACCCTATTTCCACCTCAACTTTATAATGATTTATTCTGACTAGTGAATTTCGATTAACAGGTGGATCTCAAAAGGTGAATAAATCATTGTCAGATACTCTGCCTGGATTTCGTAGTCCATCACGAAGGCAAGGTGATGTCAAGGTTCCCCAGACTCAGGTGTCATTGCCGCCAGGTTATGTTCCCGTCTTCAATCCTCGGTGTTTATTAAATCCAAGTGCTAAGAGTAATGTTGCATCAAATGAAGCTAATCATCCTCGTGTCAAACATGATGCTCTTTCAAGAGCTCGTCTTTTGCAAGAAGGTATGTTGTTAACTGTACATATATATATATATATATATATATATATATATATATATATATATATATATATATATATATAATATTTTTGAATAACGGTGGTTCACATTTTCATTGATCCTATTTCATCAACCTGATGAATTGCTTCTTGACGATATTTTGTTCTGTGGCTGGTGAAAATTGTAATATTTTTTGTTCGCTTACTGTTGTGTCATAAATCTCACCTCTTTGTATGGAAGAAATTTAGTTTATAAGCTTTTCACGATGAGCTTTAAAAAGGAACTTAGGTTGGTTGTTACTTTACGGAATAATACAAACAGATAAGGGTGAAAAAACGATTTCGATTTCAAGAGTTGATATACGTCAAACTGAATTAGTCGTAGAACGAAATTAGAGTACTAGAAGTCACTGTATTTCTTAGTATCTGAAACTGTAGACATGTATTTGTCGAAACTATTAACGAATGTACCAGACTATAATGATTTTGCGAGACAAGGAATAATTAATACTGTAAGAGTAACAGGAAGTGATCACCACAGCAGCGGGTTATATGGACTTTAATGGATGTTAAAGCAGAGAGTGTAAAACAATGAGAATTTAAGTAGTACCAGTAAGCTTAAAGTAAGTTCAGCCAAATGATGGATTTGAACATTACTAAAATTCATATACAAGGACAATTAATTAAAATGAAAGAAAAATTATGTAAAAACAGAATCAATATCCTTCTGTTTACCAACTGGGTATTGTAGTCGATTATCACAGCACAAAGTTGGTAATCAAAAGGTCAGGTTTCCTCAGTTCAGTCATCTACCTGAGATCGAACTGAAACTTGTACAGATGAGTGTGTGAATTATTATCCATGCCAACCGGTTTATTCCTGTTCCATTCATGCATAAGTAAACTTATATAAGTAAAGTGTCTAAGATATCCGTGCATAACAGACTCTTCTGTCAGCTGAGTATCGAGTTAGATGTTGTACGTGGACGATAAAACTAATTCCATGTCTTGGCATGGTCACTCATAACTAACGCGTGATGCGAAAGAAAGGTTAAATTACTAAGCTAATAAAATAAAACGACCTCTAAGTTAATGATAGGCAAAATGACTAAGAAAGGCAAGAAAATCAGAATACTCATAGAAAGGCAAGCAAACGGAAAGACAGAATGTAGAATGTGAAACAGAAGCACATCGGTTTAAATCACCACACTTCACAGCGACTGAATATCAAAGACGTTATATTAAAACCAAAGAAAGTGCCTGGGTTAGGACAGAAGAAATGGATTTATTATTCATTATTGTTAGAACACAAAGATGATACAGGAAAGACACCAAGAAATGTGCCCCACAAAATAATATAACATTATGAAGACAAATCGAAGGAAAGTGGATAAAAATGAAACAGTAAGAACAGAATGATTAAAAGGGCAGCCCAGTAAAATACATTCAAAACAAGACGTTCATTACTTTTCAGCAGCGGAAAATAGAAGGAAGCTGCAGCATGACCCCACCTGGTTTCGATTCTGACCCATATCTGATAACGTCTTAAGCCACTGAGTTGGGTTATCTCTCGGATGCTAACCCGACACAACTATCCTTGATCTGGCGGCTCCACGTCATACACTGACCATCCCTCCGGTCCTTCCATCCAGTCCGAGGGTTAGCAAACAATGAACGGTGTGAAAGCCGTTGGGAATACATGCGAAACACACCCAAGCCACCTAGATCGGTGTTTGAAGATGACTTCATATAATGAATGGTGGTTTCCATCATACCCAAACACACTGTCGTACCTCAGAATTACTTACTTGGCATTGCCACTGGATACAAGCAATCCTGCGTAGACAACGGTAATCGAACACAGAGTTGTCACGCATCCTTAGCTCGAAGACGTTAAGTTTCACGGGCGTAGAACAGAACTACTCGCACCAAATTGTTATAAACCCGACCTTTTACGGTCAGACTAACGTCACGACGGTACCAAAGGTGGCCCAGATTGATGCGGTCACACATAGCCTTTTCAAATGTGTTGAATTGAGATTTCATTGTGCTACCAAGTAAGGAAAACCCATATTGAAAGGCAGCGAGTTGTGTGTTGTTTTCGAAATGTCATTTTCGTACCCCTTTCCATCAGGGGAGGCAGCATTGCATATGACTGCCTGTTATTCATGGGAAACTTTTTTGTCATACCTGGTCCATGCAACCTTACAACTACACCCTCGGACCCTCATCAAAACATAGTCATTTACACCATTAGTGTAGCTGAATTTTTTTAAATCTTTATCCAGCCGGTCTTTCTGGTATGGTGGGAACCCATAAAACAAGCTCTCCAGTCTTCATATCTCATTGAATCATTGTGATAAGCAACCCTGACCACCACGTTAAGGTAGCAGGTATTCACAACTAAAAACAAAATCGGTGTAACTGACTCAATCGCTCTTGCTCCAAGTAATGTAATTGTGTTGGGGAGAATTTTCCCGTTATGACCAGATTCCGTAACAACAATTGAGTCTGACAGACAAGGTTAACGTTGATAATATAACTATCAGTTAGTTAGTTTCTTTGCTCGTTTAATTCTGACTGATTCCTTTAGGTCAGGACGACTTGGTAGTGCATCTTCTTATATGATACATGCTTCATTCTGGAGAATTTTTGCAACTGAATGTATTCTATGAAAAAGTTTTAGTTAGTCAACATGCCTGATTAAAATGACAACCGGGTCTGTTTATTTAAAACTGTATGATAGTCGGACATTTAGTTCGGTTTCTAGATAGCTGAGGCCACTGAATTTACAAGAAAACATTACTGTTACAATAATTCAAAAAAAGTAATGTCATATGTTTTATTGACCAGATCTCCACGTGTAATCACTGCCACCCCTTCTCGAAGCTGAAAACCTTTTCTGTCGTAGTTTAAATAGTATGAAACTTGGAGGCCAAACATGCTCTATTATTAAGATTAGAAATGTAAAGAAAGACACTCTCTGACCTGACATTCAATTTTATCATAGATATTCTTATGGAGGTCTCCCTCTTGTCACCTGATTACACTGAGGTTGACCTAATCACAGGAGAATTTTCATTAGACCTAGAATATGCAGGTGACATAGTCAGTCCTGTTAGGTGAAGACGCTGACAAGATTCAGAGTCTTCTAAACACTTTGAGTGGGAATTTGAGGATGTTTGGGATGCGGTTCTCACCAGCCAAATGCAAATTGTTGCTCCAGGGTTGATCTTTAAGGATGCCACGGCTAACAACAGAGAGTGTAGTGATTGAGTATGTCGACCATTTCACTACTTACCTGGGAAGTAGGATCAATCCTACCCTGGTGGCTTAGTTGCCGATGAAATCTCTGCACGGATACAAACGGCTCGACTGGCTTTTACCAACTTACGCCACCTATGGCGCCGCCGTGATATCCGATTGTCTATTAAGGGTGGTGTGTACTGCACCTGCACAGCAGTCCGGTGTGTTCTACTGTATGACTGTGAAACATGGCGATTGAAGGTGGAAGATATGAGAAGGCTTCAGGTGTTTGACCACCGTTGCCTTCGTAGTATAGGCCGTATTCCTTGGTGTCACCACGTGAGTAACGCAGAAGTCAGGTGTAGAGTTTTAGGGAGAAAAGGTAAGGCAGTTGACGAGGTTATGAGATGGTTAGGACACGTGTTACGCATGCCTAGCTGCCATCTACCTCGTCTCACAATGTTGGCCGAAGTAGGCCCAGGCTGGAAGGTGGCCCGAGGTGGCCAGACTAAAACATGGCACTAATATATGAAGTCTCTGACTATTGCTTTGAGCCATGTGGGGCGATGCAGACTAGGTGGTTGGGGTCGGCGGGACAAGAAGAACCAGTGGTTGAGACTCTATGTGATATGGCTCAGAACCGATGTCGGTGGCGCAGATGTATACACCCATTATCCTCATCTTATCGACGCTATACCGAATCCCACCATTTTCTCACTCTTCCTTTCTCTCTTTTCGTGCTTTATGTTTCTTTTGGCTGAACTTTCTTATCTTCATCGTGCACTACGCTGCCTTTTTACTTGATGTACTGATATGAGCTGTGGCAACTTGCACCGTTAAACAGTAATGCCTAGTCCTATGTTGATATTGATGATGATGAAGCTTGGAAATGATCAGTGAGGTATTTATGAATGCCAAGTATTTCTGATGGAGGTGTTGTATATGCGAAAATTCCCTCTTGTTCACTATGTGAGGTGTTAGGTCGTTTGTCATACATTTTTACCTTTTTTCAGATTTCTTTTTATACTACTCTTGAGTAAACTAAACTGCGTCGAATAATTTTTATAGCTGAAGTAAAAACGCGTGGTGTTTCGCAATATTCTAATATACGTTGTAAACTTTTATTTGAACCCTGCTTGCGATGTAGATAGTCCGTAACTCAATGTTTCGTAAAGTAACCGTCTATTCTTTAGTACACAGTTCCCTATGCAGTCGGTAATTTGTTCCAAATGTTTGATGAATTATCGCCTAAAATACCAGTGGTTCTTATTTCTGTGCTACCCGAGGTAGTAAATTAATCTTTAGAGAGATGTACCCTTGATTATGAGTTCAAGCCGGTGGATACTAGCTCGTCTTCCACCTAGTTGTCTTTACAGTTTATTTCTTGTGATAAGATATTTATTTGTTTCACTGCAGTGTGTGCGGGGAAATAGGTGTGTTCACTTTTAGATTATGTCGATCATTTATACATCCCAGTATTTAGATTCATCGGTGTTTTTCACTTGTAAAGTTAGTGAGATGGGTTTTGTTGTAGATTGGTGGGAGTCGCTAACAATGTAATAGTATTTTGGTACTCCATTGTCTGACCACAAACGTATATTATGCACGTTGATTGTAAAATAATGATGCCTTTGGAATCTTGTTCTCATCTTCTGGAACTACTAACTGAACAATACAGAGGATAAAGTTGGATTTTATAAATGTAAATGTTTTGAGTTTTTTGATGGACCTGTGTAACCTACTTTTTCTACTTTGTTTAAACATTATGCCGTAAACACTTCGTAGTTGTTCTCGTCGTCTGGGATTTTGACTATCTTCAAACATCTGGGATATAATGTTTTCTTATTTATTGTTATTCCTTTTATTTCTGATCGCATCATCTTTTTGGTTCTTCCAGTTACGGAATTAATAGCGCAGTATATGGTGCAAAAGCCTGTGAAACGACATGTAGAAGATGTGCCTAGGCTGGATTTTCAAAATGTTTTCATTTGTTAGACAATTATCTCTATCGTGTTCACTTACACATTAGAAGATGGGAGGGATTCCTTGGAAAGTTTCATTTGCAAGATTCTGAAGTCATAACTGACTTTTAGCGATTATACTAGCGTCATGAGGACACCAAAAATAATGCAGATTTGCGCATACCACTGTGACTTCCACTTAAAATTGGGAAATTAGTTTTATGGCATTATTGCTATCAGCGCACATATAAGTAAATCAGAATATATAAACCTTGAATATTTATTACAGTTTACCGCCATGGGTATGTAAGTGTTAGGAATACAATGGTTCAAAACACATTGAGTACCTTTTAAATAGCCGTGCAGCTTAAACTGAAGCAAAGTTTGTTTTGTGTTGTTACTACCAACTAGCTATAATAGTTAATGATTTTAAACCTTTAATTTGCTTTATTTTAGATTCGATTTATGAAAAATTAGACCCTGTCCACCAGCTTCGCTTGAAAGCTGCCGCAGCTGGTCTTCCAGTTCCTTCTTTAGTGCCAATTTCTTCATCTAAACAGCTGTCCAATCAATGTGGGAATCCCAATGAGCCAACCAATTTTATTCTACCTACCAATCCCACAGCTGGATTGCTAAAGATTTTCAAGACCGATAGTAATAAACAAGCACGTTTTGAAGCCTACCAAGTACTTGTTCGCCGAGGATTTTCGCGTATGTTTCATTTGTTGTTATGTGAATTAGGCTGTATTCCAGTGCGGTCATACATGATTTTTATCAATAGGTGGTAACTATTTGAAATTACTAAGGGCTGAATAGGCCCAGTGGTGGTTAGTTAGTGGATGGTACTCTGGGGTTTATGCAAGCCAACGGAATCGACTAATGCTTGCTTGGACATGAATAGTTCTGAAGGCTACTCACTTTTTATTGCAGTTAACATAGTGCATTCAAGTTGGTCACTGGTTATGCGTTGTTCGATCGATAGATGTTCACTATCCGAGTAATTAAAATAGTCCCTTTAGCTGGAGATTCGACACATGACCGCTGCATTGCACAAGTGATTCTATTACAAGTGGTAAATTCTGCGAACGCTACGGTAGTCAAACATCTGACCATGTTTTGTGCTGTTCGTGAGTTTTACTTAGGCGTCTAGTAAATATGTAATCTAGGATCTGAAATGTTATGTTCATCATCATCACTGGAGGATTTCTCCCCTTTCTTAAAGACTGCGACAGCCAGTGATCGAAACTGTCCAGAAGAGACGGTATTTGATTCCTACATGTTAACTTGTACTTCATTTAATCTAACCATAAATCCTATACCATCATTATGAATTATTCTCAGACGAAAATGGAAATTTCACAAACTGGAAGATAGGTGAACACGTCTAGTGCGAACTGTGGATAAAGATATTTATTTGTTATCACTTATCGGCAAAATGGTGGGCCTTTAGAAATTTGTTACTATGCCTTTCGAATGAAGGTGAAAAGAAGTTAAACATAGGTCAATCAGAGCTTTTTATTAGTTGATTTTGAACATCACGCACCAGTATCTTGTTATTTTCAGCTGTAGAGTTTTGGTTGGTATTTATTTCTGGATCTTTCATTCACGGACTTTAGACCAGTGTATACGTTGTTTCTGAAACATACTTTTTCTGTATATTCTGTGTTTCTAAACTATTAGGAAAGATTGAAGGGTACTAAGCAAGACAGGCAACTTGATTTATGAGGTTGTGAACCTTCATCAACTGAGGTGGCTTGAACGTGTACTGCGCATGCCGAACAACCACCTTCTACCTCTGCGTCTCATGCTAGGGGAAGTTGAATTAGGTTGGAACTAGGTTCATGGTTGCCCCTCTAGGACGTGACACAAGTCGATGAAGTCCCTGACTGTCGGTCTGAGTTGTGTGGGGGGATGTAGACTACTTGGTGGGGGCCCCCGAGACGAAAGGAATCAGTGGTTGAGGTTTGCTTTTGACGTGGCTGAAAATCGGTCACAGCGGCGCAAGTTTATTCACTCTTTGACATCTAAAGCTTGAATACTTGCACTAATCGTTATCTCCAAATTGTTTATTTTCTCACAAAACTTTGTCGTCTTTGATATCAGTCATTTTCTATACACTTGTTCTTTGTATACTACTGTGAAGTGTGGCAACTTGAACCAATGCACTTATACTTATGTCTGTCTGTTAGGAAAGATATTTCAGAGTTAGTGGACCCTATTCAATCCTAGTGCATCATTTATTACTGTGTCTGATGAGCTTCGCGTTAAATTAAAAAGTACTGGACGTTCATTAGTGTCTGCTAGCTTAAGAAAAGTCGTGTGTGTGTGTGTGTGTGTGTGTGTGTGTGTGTGTGTGTGTGTGTGTGTGTGTGTGTGGCTTTCTGGCTTATCATGCTATGTTTTTCCCTTGCTAGCTTTGCACAAATGAATTTACTGAGCCATTGAGCCAAATTTAAGATGAGAGGCTCTATAATGCCATTCGATGGCCTAGATGAAAGTAGACGAGTTAAATAACTGGTTCATGTGATGTAAATCGAGTATTTATACCATTGAACGTATGTTTTGATCTTGAAACAAATCACATCTTTTCGAAATCCACAGTTTGAGGAGAAATAACACCAATAGATGTGACCTCATTATGGAATTTCATCAAACTGTTCAGATCACAATATTTTATCTACTTGATCCTATTAGTTAATGTCAGTTTCATAGGTACGAAAGCTGTATGGTATAGATGAATGACTGGCATGGTTAATTGTAGACCACTCATGCCAATCAGCTGTACCTTCTAAGCAAATTGAACTGACTTAAACATCGGATAAGTATTTCTCTCGATCGGGGATATCAAGCACTGCTGATTGATGTGGCTAGTTTATTACTGGGTATGTCGGTTAGTGTACACCGTTGATTTCTATCAAACCAACTGAATGCTTTGCAGCACAGGATTACTTCTTGTTCATCAAATTCAACTTCAGTCTGTAGTGTCAGACTAATTTGACAACTGATTGATGTATATTTTCCGACAAATAAAAGATGAGATAATTATTGCCAGATGTAAGGATTATTTCAAATGCAAGCATTAATGTGATTCTCATACTATACTTTATACAGTAAATAACTTATTTCAAGCGGAAAATGCAATCAGTTTATTGAGTAATTTGCATGCCAACGTTAAGCATTAGTCAGTATAAACAGGTCACATTATGTTATTAACGAAAACAGCATAGTCTTATGTCCTTAAGTAACTATCAAGATGACTAATACCAGTTCTACTCAAGAAAATGAAGTATAATCAGAACTTAAAGTAAGCTTTGAAGAGCAACTACTTACCATTATTTAAGTGTAGAAATCATATAAAGATGAAGTCCTCATGCGATGTTGTGATTTAGCTTATGTATGCACTCGAAAGCGGGGATAATGTTTGTCGTAAATCGAAAATCGAAAGCGAATTAGGATGAACTATCCATTCAGGAGTATATTTGAGATACTGCCAAAAACTAATTGCCGATTGGATTTGGTGATTCATTGTTATCAATAGTCGTTAAATTTAGACTCATTTGATAAAATACTAATAATGATGACTGCCTCAAAGTCCGTCCTTTATTCTGCTCATTTTTCACAATACTTAAGGAATAAATCCAGGAAGATGGAGGTGTGGGAATCTTGCAAACAGTGAAATATTCTTGTATATTTTCATGAAATGAACAAATATTTAGTATATTCAGTAGGTGTTTGAGTAGGTATTAGTGTAATGCGTTTGAATTCTGTGTTAAAAAGCTGTTCTAGCTTTCAAAAGCGTGATCACTACTGAATAATCCTTATTTGTTTGTTATCAAACTTTATTTAAAGTTATGAACCAAGCATAAATTCTTACACAAAAGAAATTTTCTTGTAAACTGCACTTGATATACTGAAACAAAGAATTCCAGAAGTGTTAGCGTTGATTAAAAAGTAGCAAGCTTGAAAAAGTAATCTGAATTCGATCGAAGTCGCACTGTATCCTGAACTGACAGAAGTAGGAATTCTGGACCATTGGATCCCAACCCAGTGGTTCAATGGTAACATGCTGGCCGCGGAACCTGAAGGTCCTGGGTTCGACCCACAGTGGAGTCATGGGTGTGGACTGTTGGGCAGTCTCATACCGGGGCGAAACAGCTATCCAGTGCTTCCAGGCTCCCAATATCCCTCCAACTGATGTCAGTCCACGATGGATACCAACCTGAAATTAATAAGTCCATGCAAACCTCCAAATTAAAATAATCTGAATAACCAAAAGGTAGAAGCGCATTGAGAATAAGAGAAAGTTAACACAGGATAGAGTAGAGTTAGATAATTGAGAACATAACATATGGATGTCGTTTATTGCTGATGTCCCGCTGCTCATTATCCAAACATCAGTTATTCTAGATCATTCGAAAATTCGTTTATTCCGGCTCACTATTTCTTGTTTTCACTGAAGTATTCATCTCATTGTTAATTCCCTAGAAAGAAACAGCACAATAGACATTTAAAAGGGAATAAGAAATTTTGATTGACCTTGACTGTTAGTTATATCTGATGAAGTAATTGACATATACTACTAACTGTAGAGTTGTACAATGGGAAGTGGAATAAACAAAATTAAACATGTACAATGAATGCTATAGGATATTCAAATTGTCAAAGCTTAAAACCTTTTTACTTCGGTCAATTTGGCTACACGATACCAATGTAAGTTACTCAGAGAATAGGTGAGACGTTGTTTCTGCTTAAGTTATATATTAGCAGTTCACTGGAGTAGATCTATTCCACAGTTTATAAGGATGTATTAGTTATGCATACCTCCCTTACTGTACGTTTTATGTGACCAGTTTTGAGATTAATTTTTGGTCACGTTTTTTCCACTAGCTTGTAGGATTTAAACGCAGTATTGACATAATAATGCAAATTGCAGGAAATGCCAAGATGGAGACGAAAGAAGGAATGTTTATCATTGACATCTTATTTAGTAGTCATCAAATATTGTACACCTTCCACTAAGACAGTCATATGCAAAATGTGCTTCATTTCCTCTTCTACTTCGATCTTGGTTTGCTCTTAATACACTCATATTGTTTCTTGCGTTTCTCTGGTCAGAGTCGTTACGCATTTCTGGTAATTACCCATGATTTCTGCTGCCCTCAACATATACTACCTATATCCGTTCTAATCAGCAATGCCTACTACGAAATAAATATCCATCTTACTGAAAATTTATCCTGTTGTGATACGATGCTATCATAGCATGTTTTGTAAATTGCGAAATACCCTATATGGTGGTCAAACCATGATGTAGTTGTATTTTATGGAGTTGCTACTTTGTTGTAATAAACACAGTTGATTTGAATCTTGTGGTTTGCAGCTATATTGGAGATAAATAATCTTAAGTTCTGGGTGAAAATGAAAATGATACAGATTTATTTACGATTTTCTTCTCATAAAGTCTTAAGTGCTTTAATACTTTCTGCTTATTCATTGCCTATTGACTCATTATATTTCGTATTACATTTAATAATCCCTCAATGTGAAAGAAGGTTACAACCAGCGGAAAGACTATGTAAATATGCATTTCATTTTATCAGTTTTGTAGCCTTCTAATCAGCCTTTTCTTCTGGAACGCATATATATATCAATTAGGGAAGCGAATACTTTTGCTGACTTATACCATTAGAAAAGGCTACAGGCTACTAAAATTTGAATTATTTTCTGAACGACTTATCTTTTTCGTTGTTGTTAACATGGTTTTTTGCATAATTGTGTTGATCGGTATTAAAATATGTTTTTCAGGAAATTTAATTCCTTTGTTAATTTATAATTGTTATGAGATACGGAATGCTGTTATGATTACTATCATTATTACTATGCCTATTATTTAAAGTCTTTTTGTGGCATAAGAGTATATTATATTTTTGTATATTGAATCAATTAAAAATCCTATGACCACTGATTGTATACATGAAACGGAAGAGAAGTCTTTGAGTGGTGTAGGACTAAGTTTTCTCCTTCTCTTCTCTTTTCAGAAAGACATCGTTCTTTCGATATTTTATCTCAATCAGGTTAACTAGTTGCATAGTTTTTAATTATGTCCCACCAAATTGATCGTTGATCATAACTTAGACGTTAATGTAGGGCTGAATTAAAAACTAATGGGTAAGATTGTGCACTGTGGCTGCTAAGCTAACTGACATAACATAATCATCATTTTGACTGTCTGAGATAGTTATGGTTTAACAGACTAGTATTCGACACCTTCGGTCATCACCCAGTATCAATACTAGTCTGCCAAACCATGGCTATCTCACTCATAGTCCAAATGATAATCAATATGATGCTCCCTCTCTCTAATTGAAGTAGATTTTGATTGGGATGAAAGTCCTGACTGAGTAGCCATTATGAGTAACACCAAGCGATACTAACTCTTCATGAATTCACATAGCAGTTGGGGATAAAATCCTTGGTGATTGAAGTGAAGTAAAAATCTGGTTAGAAGTCAGGTCTTGTAGCTGAGTCGGTAGAGCACCAGTTGGAAACCCGGTGGTCGCTGATTCGAGTCCCCTCGTGGCTCAAATTTTCATTTCACCTTCAATCATCTTTTAGCACCACAGCTATGTTGTGTAAGAGAAACAAAGAAACAGTAAACAATTATTTCTGAACCTTTATTCTGAGATAGATAAAGCGACTGGATTTGTCAAAGATTAAACTCAGCGTTCCCTTAAAGAAGACGTTTCCTTGTGCTACACCTTAGTTTTTATCACCAAGCTTACCTTATCACAGCATGTGAAACCTTAGATTGTGTCATGAGCTCATATCAATGTGCATTTCTTAGATTTGATTGTTGACATGGCAACTTTATGTATGAAAGGTGACGGAAAATTACAAGCTTGATTTGGCTACACTTAATGTGCACTGACTACAAAGCTGACTCCGTCTTTTTAGCAATTTACAAAGTTATGCACTGTTTTTCGTATCATCATTTCTTCAGAAAAGTTTTAAATATTCACACTTAAAACCATGAGAGCAGAATTGTTTGCCACCGTTTTTCCGGAGAAAGCTTGCCCATTCATGTGTCTTTATTTAACCTCCTATTACTCTTCATCTATGGAGATTTAGGTGGCTACATAGTATCAGTAGCGTTCACCGTGATGTCACTCATCACGTGTTACATAAACCTCTACTTAGTTGTTAGATGGTTTGTTACTAAACTACTTCAGGATGGGTAAAGTTAAATGCAATACTAGTGCAGCAGTGTGGTCTCTGTTGAGGTCGTCTAACATAACCCTTGAAGATGAACGCGTTGAACATTTCATTTACCTGGGAAGTCGGATCAGCCCACATGGGTCAATGGCCGACGAAATCTCTGCACTGATGCAAAAGGCTGACTTAGCTTTACCAACCTACGTCATCGGTGGCACCTCCGCGAGATCCGATTGTTTATTAAGGGTCGAGTGTACTGTGCTGCAGTCCGCTCTATTCTACTATGTGGCTGTGAAACATGGGCATTAAAGGTAGAAGACAGGAGAAGGCTTCAGGTGTTTGACCACCATTGGCTTCGTAGCATAGGCCGTGTTTAGTAGTGTTGCCATATGAGTAGCGCAGAAGTCAGATGCAGAGTCTTGGTTGTATTGTGTTCTCTGAACTGAGTTGTTTAGTCGTTGAGCTTTGGTCGTCTTTCTAGACGCGATATCTTCAGCTTTAACTTCAGTATGGAGTTACTATGAAGTATGAAGTTAACTGCATACTGAAGTTAGTGCTGAAGATATCGTCTAGAAAGACGATGAAAGCTTGACGACTAAACAACTCAGCTCAGAGAACACACTACAGCCAAAACCATCCACCTAAGCTACAAATATTTCCCACCATTTCGAAGTTATACGAGCGTAACACGCTTCACGTCGTTCAAAGATGGGAGGACTTCTCCAAAAGGACAACTATTCTTTCTCCAGGAGTGCCTACGTCAGCATGTTCTCCCGAAGAATGTCAGATATAGACCACGGATTGACTTTCCAATGGGATGGGCAATAGCTGAACAAAGTGGAAGACAAATAGTACAACTGATGATATCAGATGTAGAGTTTTAGGTAGGAGAGGTAAGTCAGTTGAAGTTGTGAACTTTGATCGACTAAGATGGCTGGGACATGTGTTACATATGCCTAACCACCATATGCCTCGTCACACAATATTGGCCGAAGTGGGTTCAGGCTGGAAAAAGGCTCAGGGCAACCAAACTAAAACGTGGCATCAATGCATGAAATCTTTGTCTGTTCTTTTGAGGGCTATGCACACTAGCCTGTTGAAGATCCACAGGACAAGAGAAGCCAGTGGTTAGAGACTCTAGGTGATATGGGTTAGAACTGATAACAGTTGTTCAAATGCATACACACGTTATGCTTATCTAACTGCCATACTTAATCTCATTCTTCCTTCATCCCTTTTACTACTTTCTACTGCCACTTACTCTGACCGATTTTTATTCCTTCTTCATCTTCCATTTTATTGCCTTGTTATTCGATATGCTGATGCGAGGTGTGGTAAATTGGACCGTTACAGAGTAACGCCTGGTCCTATGTGGATGATGATAATGACAATAAGTGGTGAGAAAAACTAGTTATTTCTTTCCTCAATATTTTGAAGCGCTTTTTATGTGCGTCAAAAACCACTGGATGAATAAACAGTATTATTATTATTATTTTTCCCTTGGGTTCCTAGTGGAATATAAGGCTTCAGTAGCATGTCGCCATTTAACTCTTTTCTGTGCACTCTTTTCAACCTTGCTCAACGTCTGCCCACAAGCTTTCATCTCTTCCTCACATGATCTCTATGTCACCCTTGCCTCGGACGCCCAACTCGTCTTTTCCCATTTGAATTCCACTTGACGGTCTGGTCTGGCTTGGTGCGTGATATCCCCAAATGGTCTTCTCAGTGTATGCCCAATCCATTTACACTTTATTCTGCATATTTGTTGGGCGATGGGTTCTTGATTGGTTCGCTGTCAGGCCAGAGTTCCTTGTTGCTTATTCTAATTATTCTGGCCATCTGATCTTCAGTATCGAGCCAGCGTAGGTGGCAGTTGTTGATGAATGTTTGTGGTTTGTTGGAAATGCTTTTCGTAACGCGCCAAGTTTCTGAACCATATAGCAGCACTGACTTGACATTGGTGTTGAAAATTCGGATCTTGTTCTTTATGCTGAGTGTAATAGATCTCCACAGTTATTTCAGATTAATGAAAGATGAATAAACAGTAATAATGTTTATTATGAGCTGTTACATAAAGAAGAGTTATTTTGCGGAGTTTTAAGGCAGGAAATATTGGGTGTATTAAGGTGTAAGTTGAGCTTATTTTTCGTATCTCATAGTGCTGCTCTGGTTTCGACAGTAGGGAAAGTTAAAAGGATTTGTAAATGATTAGAATCAGACGTACTGGCTGGATGCGAATATTTTCATGTTTTATTTATTTGTTCTCCTGCTTTAATAAATTTAATACCTAACTCAAAATTTATTATCACGCCAACTTCTAGAGAAAACATGAATGTAGTATATCTAGTTTTTCGTCATTGCACAAATGCCTTTTAGACTTCTACTGTTAGTCTATAAATGTACGTTTTCTACTTACTTTACCTTTGTATGCTCCTTTTTTATTTCCTGTTCAGATGAAGATGCCTATCGTCGTTGCTCCATCCTGTTAGACTTAAGCAGTGAAGAAAAAGAACGTGAAGCTAGTTCATTTCAAGCCATTATTAAGATGAATAAGATGACACCCACAAATGCTTCATCAATAGTATTGAATGCTAATAATATAAATGATGATAAAAATACTACTTCAGTTTCTTCTGTTGTTGTTACTGCTACGCCTTCGGATCCTGCTGCTAGGCTACCACTAACCAATAGCTTACCTTTGCACAAACAACAGTTAATATCATCAAAATTGGCCCTAAGATTTCGTTCCGCAGGTTGCATGGATATTAGCAAGGAATTAACGGAGGAAGAGGAAAAAGCTCAACGGGCGCGAGTTGAAGTAAGACCTTTTGTCTATTGGAAGTTACATGGTCGAAATGTTTTATTATCATAACAATATGTAGTAGTAGCTGCATGGTTCACCTCAGTAACCATATACATTGTCTCGATCACATCTTTTGTGTGAGAGCTGATAGTAATATCTGACTATTCAGAGCTTGATAGACGCAGTCGTGAATTAAATCAATGACGTTTCAGTGGCCGAAATTCAGTTGCCGTAATCGGTGAACTATGAGTCAGTTATAATTGCTTGTTTACATGATATTGTCTACGTCTGCAGCTTGAAACATAATGAGTAATCAGGCAGTATCAAAGCATCCGCATGGAAGTCCATTTGCCAACAGAGATCGAGCATTTTGACCCAGTATAGTAATAGGAAATTACAAGTATTAATAAACAACAACTTGTATCCGTAGTACAACTGAAGGCTATCGTGCCCCAGCGATCTAGTAGATAACACTTTGGCGTTTATAGCAAGTCTCAGTGGAGGCACATTCAGTCCCATATAGGACGAAACACGCGTCTTGAATTCCACTGCTAGCTATCAAGCAGATTGCTATATTGTCTGCTTTGCTTTCAAAGACTAGTTAGTGGATAGTTTCCGGTTTCTTTGTCGACTCATTTCTAGCCAAAGCCTCAATACAGTGTTTTGAGATGCCAAACGTTTTTTCTCCTATTTGTACGTTTTAGCATATGAAGCATGTCGATTGATACACACAATCTTGCCACCAAGCTAAGAGAAACAGCATTGTACAGTACTGCACTTAGACAGATCATGTGCTTTGGTTAAAGTTACCTCGGATCCCAACAGCACAAAAGAAGAATGAATTTCTAATAAACAAAAAAGTATGTTTGAAGAGCGACAATAAATAAGCACGGACTATGATGTCGAAATTTTGCAGGAGCTGGAAAGTGAATACATCTTCATTACTGTAGTCGACCATTTAAACCATTTGTTCTCAGTATTTCAAGAACTTCGATAGATGTTAAGTGATTGGAGGTAATATGCATGAAGTTGTACTTTACCTCGATTCCATGTTTGTTAGGAGGCATATCTACAATCTCGACAAGTCTGACACTGTTTTAGAAAATCTAATTGACTTCATTCAATGTTGGAATCAGAGACTTCATCTCTGTGCTATTTGGGCCCACATATTCATTTCCTATAGGAATCTATTGAGTACATTTATTAGTCACTGGAGAGTAACTAATGTCCAATTGCCTGGTCCTAATTGATGAATGAATTTTATCAACTAGCCAAATTACATCTATCAAAATGCAGAGTGACGATGACTCTTCTAGCTTCGTGATCACATTGCAAACGTGATCAATAGAGTTAGCCAGGCTTAGACAAGATAACATTTGTTACTCTGCAGTGGCTAACCAGTTCACTCTAGAAATCCGTCTATAAATAACCTTCACTTCCTCATACAGCACAAAGAAATCACCGTTGCCTTTATGTTGCTACATCCGGGTTCGGTAACTCAAAGCCTTCTGTTGCCGTGCAGTAGATGTGTGTATTATAGGGAGGTTTTAATTTTAGTTTCCTAGATTGGTTACTTTTTTCAAGGTAGTGTATTTGTAAATTGAAATTATTTTGTAGAATTTAAACCCTTATAAGTGACATTTTAGTCGAGTTTCTCATACAATCAGAAGTACTTAAATCTCATGCTTGATTTCTGAAATGATTGAAACACTTTGCTATACCTTTATTTATTTGTACAAAATATGGGATAGTATGAATATTCCTTTAGATGTTGCAGAAGCTGTTGAAAAAAATTACTTTTCCAGTTATGATTCATTGTGCATAATTTATTTTATTAGAGCTTAGACACTGTTGAACCACGAGATCATGCAGTGGCAACTGAATCCTATGGAGCTTTGACAAGAAGACGTCTTAAATGGCATCCGGATAGAATTTTATGCAAACGTGTGAATATCCCTAATCCTTATCCTGAGTAAGTTTTTGCTGGCTTCTATTTTAATGAGAGTCAACTTGAGCCTATTGCTGTTTGTAGAGAGAATTTTGTACTATGATATAGACAAAAGTTTTCTCTTCTCATGTGTCTTACTGAAAGCGAGTCCATAAACATGCCATTTCCTATGGTTTTAGGACAGAAATGAAAGTGAACTGAATCAAATAATCAAATAAATTTATATTTCGATTTCTGGTTAATTGTGTCCTTTCATATTTTTGTTGCCAGTTCAACTTATGTTGGTTGTCCAGATGAAAGACGTCCGCGTAATCCCTTTCGTCAGATGCACAATAAACGTGGAAAAAGTAGATTTTGTGATAGTTCTGCCAATGAATTCTCCATCTTCGACCTATTGGATGTTAATCGTGGTTCAGCAGAGCAGTCGAACTCTTTGATTGCTACTGACCAGGTGACTAGCGATTCTGATTCTGCGAGTGATGTTAATGAACCAGAGGCGACTACTTCACAGATTCCTAATTCTTCATATAAGCAGACTCCAACGACTGGTACAACATTTCAGTCTCGTGGAAAGGCTTTATTCGCTGCTTTATTTAAGTCTTTAGAAGATAAAACTGCGGAAAGTACTACTGAAGTTACCGATGGAAATCAATCTTCAGATGGGGTTCAGTTTGCCGCAGAAACTTCTCAGAATGCTACAGATAAACCTGATGTTGAATCTGTAAGTTGTTACTGGTTCATTTTGTACTTGCTGACATTAATATCATCGTTGAACTAATATCTTGCAATGAATTATGTATAACTGTTTGCTGTTACTTGCTGTTTCTACCACTGTTCTGAAAGAGAAAAATAACTAGACATTAATATGATTATGAGCAATAATTTATGCTCGAAACGTCATCAAGTAAATAATACTGGATCACTGTGTGTTATAAACCAAATAAAGAAATCTAATATGGAAAAAATAATTAGTTTTGGATGGCTTCAGAGCCCAAAGGACATTTATTTGAAACCGGTCATATACAGCCTTTTTGGAAGTTTGATATTTAAGTTTTTTTGTTTTGAGTCTATCTATAAATCTATAGTGCAGGCACTGGAAGACTACAGGGCATGTGGGTGTTCTATTTTGGGGCTGACCTCTTCTAACATCCCTTCCATAGGGGAGATAGTACAACATGGTACTGCTCATCATCCACAAGAAACACCTTACTACTGTCACCCTCCCCATCTAGCCAGTAGTACGACTACACCCTTGTATCCAACATCATAGCGCAGCAACTTGAACTCTGAGTGTACCTGCGTTTTGCCTTCTGTTATGATAGGTCATCGAGAGAACAAATATTTTCACGATTGTAGCTCGTCGGGTCACTGTAATATGCAAGCTGAATCACCATATTAAGGTAGAAGTTATCGATCTGATGTAATTACCTGACTGAGATGTAATAAGAATCAGTGGTTGAAGACCTTTAGGGATACGGCTGAAAAACTACCACAAGGGAGTAGATGCATTCATTTCTCGACGTCTTCTAGAGTTTGAATATATCCACTAACCTTGATTTATTTCTTTTCTCTTTACTCATGTACCTCTTTTTTTGCTTTAATATCACCCTTTTCCTACTGACTTGTATTTTGCATACTGCTGTGAAGTGTGATAATTTGAACCAATGAGCTTCTGTGTCACGTTTTGTGTAAGCTGTCTGGAAAACAGCCTCAGTTATATTGAGCAGGGGTTGATGAACTTCGCATATTATTGTTTTTGGCACACGATGTATGACAAAGGTCTATTGCAGTCTGTGTGATACCCTGTGTTTATTAAGTGCACTGAGATAGAACTTTGCACCACTTTCACTTCATCTACGTAACTTGTTCCTTAGGAACAGCTAAATTGATATATGTTCAAGAAAAGGAGCTGAGATTAAATAGTCTATCCTTTAGTTTCGGATTAAGCGTTGGTCGACTGCTGTAAGATATGCAAAGATAGCCTGAATGAAACGTTCTACTTATTGCTCTAGCTAGATGTGTTAAGGTGTCACTTAGAGCATCTCCTTTGAGTTATAATTGCAGAAACAAAGGCCTCCTCTGTCATCAATTCAAGTTTGAGATTAATGTAAGCGATGTCTACTCTGGTGAACGTTTCAGAATATCCGTTTTCATTTAGAACATCACGCATACATGGTAGTTCTTTTTCCACACACTCTTTGACACAAATCGGTTTTATTTTAAATCCTAAGCACCTGATTATGTTGTGTTTGTACTTCGTTGATATATAGCTGAAAGTGTGTATACTAGTCTTCGGTTTCTGTGTATACCTCTCACTATATAGCCATCTTACCCTGTTATTAACACACCAAGCAAACGTATCGAATAATTGATTTCATTCTTTTCAGTTAAATGGGCTGATGGATAAGGGCTTTTGAAGTTATTCAGATTAGAATTACTGCGTAAGCACTTATCAGATACTAAGGAAGTATCATTGATATATTTATCGTGAAGTAAAACTGGCGAAACGTTCTATTTCAGTGCACCTAGTAAACATAGGGTATCACATAGATGCTAACAGAGCTTTTAATTTCATCTATCACCAAAGTAATATCATGTGTAGCTCACCAACGCCTGCTCACCATAGCTGAGGCTATTGCAATAAGATTGATAAAACCTGAAATTTACATTCAAATAGAGCATGTTTAAATGTTATTTCTTTATTGGCCTTCAGTCAACTAAAGGCTACTCCTGTTTTTCTTATTTGTCGTCTTTTCTTTTAACTGTCAAAGCATTTTATATAGAGGACGAAAATAGGGTGGGGGAAGATAAATAAATTAAGATAATATAAAATGATGTATTCGCACAATATATTTCGAACAGTCTGATCATACATATACTTGTTAGGAAATTTTATATGAAGGATGAAAATAGGGTGGGTAGGATTCCCCCCCTCCTCTTCTTCATTTCCTTCTAATATTGAAAAATTTGTAAAGCAAAAGCGACTTCCTTCCATTTTGAAAATGTATTCATCTTAAACTTGGGTCGTCTTACTGTTCACAATTCCATTTTACAGCTGTAAAACCTAATGAGATTTTATTTTAAAAAAATGTTCGTTGTTCAGATCGTTTCTAATTAATGTTAGGGAAATCTTTAAATGTATAAAATTCTATTATCCTACAGTTCTGTGACAAGAAAAGTTAGGTAGTATATAAAGATTTAATTACTCTGAAGGTTCCTGAATCATGGTTGCATTTACCAGCGTTTTTTCACTATGTCGCGCTCGATGGTAACAGTATGTACTCAGCACATTGTAGCTGAACTTCATGACCTTATCGAAATTGCTCATTCAATGACTCCACCAACAAATACAATTTATTCGCCGGAGTTCTCTCTCATAAACTGTGTGTGGTCTTGTTACACTGTTTCCTTTTGGAAATTATTTTCAAGTCATCTGACTGCCTAATCTTTGGAGTGGTACAAAACGTGGCTGTTCAGAATACTAAAAACTAAACCTATCTTAGAGATTCCTGTCAAGAACCGATCAGTTGTCTGTCTTTTGTAGTCCAGCTCAATCAAGAAGGGGAATGAGAAGGATAATGATGAATAAACAGTTATGTATATTTCATTGATACAACAGTCGTTGGTCGAATTGAGGCTGTGACTTGGTCAGCAGTTGGTCCCCGTTGTTAAGCCACCAGAACGCTGTGATGTTATGTTGGAAAATGTCTGTTTTCTCCAATGAAAGTTTGTCACTAATGCACTTATATAATAAGGATTCGATCAGACACAACTTTGCGGCCGCAGGTTCTTGATTCAAATCTCACTGTCTACTTCAGCTTTCGCATCTGATTGGTATCCCAAACCCTCATTCTACAGAGATCGCTGATAAGTTGTTACTCAGAACTTGTGTTCGCTTTGGTCGCAGTTGATTCTAATGTTTATCTGATGGATATGCACTTTGTCGGGAGAGTAGAGTATCATGCAACATAAATTTGTATGACGATTTTAATTGCGTATTATCCTGACTGACTGCTTTTTCATGATGTAAAGTGCGAAATTGGGGTTTTAAACATTTATAAATATCTTGATAGAGCCCGTTACCATGATGCATATTTATTTTTATCAGATCCTGTAGGAGGTCCACATAAATACATCAGTAGTGTAATGAAAAAAGAAATAACTTGGGGTCTGGAAACTTCATTTATATTTAAATAGAGGGATAAATAAATAATTCAGTGGACTATTATCTAACAGCTTATCTCTCGAATTTCTGATTTCTATTACAAAGTTTCATTTGGAATATCCTCGCAGCTGCGTACACACACTTGATGAGTGTTAAATAAAACGAAACACACACTTATACACTTCTGTCTTCTTTTCATCTGAAAATACTACTATAGTGTATTTTGGGTACTTTTGGGTACTAGGAAAATGTCCAACAGAGGTCAACCACTCCCGCTTATTGAATCACTTACGAAATGATCAAACTTAACCTGGGAGTCATGTTCAGTTGCTGTATCTGTTTGCACGTTATTTTTGTTATACTCTTGGATTTAAGCTAAACTTGATTCTGTCTGCCTCGCTTTGTGTATACATACGAGTGAAGGAAATCAACCACAAACTCGTCACATTTGTATTCCACTGAAAAAGTCGATATACACTCAGTAACCTTGTGCACACCAATTATATGAAGTCTAATGATACTACCTGGCTATCCAACTCTCGGTGGATGGAGCGGTGTTCGAGTCCGTCACCCGTTAGTTGAAAGTTATCTCCCTACATCAATGAACCACAGCTTTACTTGTGGTCTTCCAGCCAACTCCGAAGGGAAAAAGCTTTTCACAAATAATAACACTAGCAACTATACCCTGTTGAGTTTATATTTCAGCTAAGAGGCTGTTTTCGGCGAATTCATTCACTTAGCTATGCAATCGCATTAATATACAATTTTCATAAACAGTTTTCCAATTTTTGTATATGTCACTTTGTCACCATACCTAACAAACCGCTTTCACACATTAGACAACTTGTACATTCTTACGGCAAAATTGTGTAACAATGTGATTGTACGATTCGCCGAAAAGTCCCTCTTGGCTGAACCACTTATTTTTTCATTTTTCTATGTCTTTATAGGGATTTTTGGAAAGTTATTATTTATCACCTTAAAGTTATGTGAATGTGTTATCAGTTTTTTTAAGTGCAAGGAAATGAAGGTGTTGGTATGTTACAATTGATGAGTCGGATCGAACATCTGTAATTACGAAAACATCAGATTTGATGCACAAAATGTTTTTTTTTTAATTTTTGCATCACAGCTTACTAAGAAAACAAAACACCGCATTTATTTCGTCTTACTTTGTTGGCAAAGTATTGCCATATATCTGGGGGTCTAACGAAACTACGCGTCTGTGGACTTGGCCGTTACAAATGCCAATTTCTAAGAATTCCATAAGTGAAAATTTAATTTTTCCATATTACTGAGATATCGGTGTACTGTGATAGTGATCTAAACTTTGTCTTTCTTGACAAGAAATGCCTTCTGTTGCAGTGCTAGTTTATGTTGTTTAGGTAGTCAGACTTTCGAAGTTAGTGATATTATCTCTTTTAAACTTTCATATTTTTCAGCTCGATCGGTTGATGGGACCTAGTCTTCCTGAGAGGGGAATGGATTCCTTAGCCGATCATTCAAACAATCCTCCAATGGATTTATTCAAGTCAATATTTGCATCAGATGAAGAACTAAGTTCATCGTCACTATCAGAAGATGATCACACAGAAGATAATTTAGTCACATCCAAAGTTATCCAGTCAAATCCTGTTACAATATCAAATGGTAACTTGCTTTTAATTTCGACTTTTACTAACTCTACCTTTAGATCAATCTGGAGTATTCAAAGCTCATGCATTGTTTTCCCATTTATTCGAACCAGATGGAGATATGCGTAGGTTTTTTCCTACAGATGCTTACGTTTCATTTATGTAGGTGGGCCACTGTCAGGATTGACTCGAATAACTACACGTCCGGAGACACAATCCAAAGTTGAAATTTCGTCACAAAACGATCTAAATCCTGATTTACTGTATGGACCAGATTTACCACCGAATTTTGGTATGCATTCAGTATTCATTTACATGCTCAACTTCATCTAATGGTAGAAAGTATTTGATTTTGAGAGTAACGTTCACATTTGTAGCATAGTAACTTGGGGTTAACGAGGAATGTGATGGAATTCACAATCTTTTTTTCCTGGATATAGAATAGAACTTGAAACTAGTGATCAAACTGTTAGCAGTTTGTGAAAGTGAATATTTGATAGTCTGTAGTTGGAATGGTTGTCCACTTATCAGTAATTGACTTCAGCGGTGATTGTGATTATACCATTATCATCTACTATGTTTGCGAACGGTGCATTCACAAAAATTTTTAAATTATGAGACAAAGGCTGCGGAAAATGATTTATCGTCGAGTAAAGATTTATGAAATTACCCTACCTGACATAGAACGTATCATCGGGATGATAGGTAGACTAATTATTATAGCCTATTTGGATCACTGTAACTTGTAAATTTCTGGTTTACTAGTTGTTCTAGAAGAATAATAACGAACATAATAGCAGGCTGATGTAGATTCATTTAATCGTTTTGGCGGTCCTCGTCAGCTGCTTACGACTCAGAATATTTAGCATGACAAATTATGAAAGATCAGTGAAAACAAGACAATGATATAGCGAAGTAATGTAAGGTAATTTTGCGGATTGAAATGCTGCCAGATTGTCATATAAAGGTGTCACGAATGAAAATAATAAACTGACTTGCACGTAGAAGGTTTAAAATCCACTTGATTTAGCATGGTTCAGATATTCAAATATTATCGTCAATTTACACAGAAAAGATATCACATCCCATTTTAACCCGATTTGTTAAATATGTCGTTATCTTGATCTTACTATGGACAATAAGTTATGTCAGAAACTTAATCAAGTAAATAATACTGTTCCACTGCGTGGTACATGTAATAAATCAACATCTTACCACACTGCCCACGTTTTACTTTTGGGTCTCACGTTTATTTCAGTGACCTTCACATACTTGCTTGTGTGCTATGAGTCCTTATTGCACATGTTAAAACCTACTGACAAAGCTGATCCCGAGCTACAAACATTTTTTGTTATCTTATATTCGAAGTAATTGTGGTGAAAGAAGTATTATCCAATGTCTCATGGTAGGGGAACAAAAGGACCAACAGATAATTCTCATGATCGTCTTGATAAATCCCTTGGTTAATATTCAGTACAGTGTCTTCAATCCATGTTGTCTTTTATAATGGGAAAATGAAAGTTCCACATCCAATGTTTTACTGTCTGAAAATTGACTACAAGATGCTTGTACGGTTCTTTTTTTGTCCTTATTTTTTCCCACGTAATTTAATCTATTTTACATGAATATAATTAAATTCATCACAGTACAAACAAATGAAATTGATATGCAAATTTTTCAAAATAAAGTTTTATATAAATTCGTTTTGCCTTAGGGAGTTCAGCTATTGACTATTGAACTCAACTCTTGTGGAACCGATAAATATGTAAATGATAATCATTTGAAGATGGATGAAATTGAGTCAGAGACATAATATTAGCTATAAAGAAGTTAGTGGAGATGTAATAAGACGAAGAGTAAATAAGTACATGACAAAGTGAGCTAGGGAGTTGTTGCATCAATTTCCGTATAAAATTAGTTTTGATTTGTGTCACTAAACGTTCAACTGCTTATCTCTCTTTAGAGCAATGGCTGTCCTAGCATTTTAATAGTTATTGGTTGTTCATTGTTTAAGCGTATAGTGGAATTCTGTAACATCTCTTCGCTTTACTGTTTTCCAACCCATCAATCATCTTTTATCATTTTGGTTGGTACTGTCTGTTTGAATGTTTTCATGGAATTCAGTTATTTGTTCAATGCTGGTCATAAAGGTCTTATAAGTGAGTAATTTTCACTAGAATGTAAAGGAAATACGCAAAACAGTCGAGTGCAAAGATACTGAAGTACACAACACAGTAATTTGGAGACTTTTAATTGCGTGAAGATTATCAAAATATCATTGCGGAAACCGAATTAGACTTAGACTTTTTATAACTGAAACCTTATTGCTCATTCTTTTTATTTCTCACCAGCAGGAAGTGAGGAGTCCGTCAGGTTTAAGAAATTCCTTAGGTTATCATTTGATTGATAGTGGCTTACAGTAGAATCTAGGATGCGTGTTTCATTTCATTTGAAACCCTTCAGCTGAATCTACCAATCAACTGACATCATACTCAATCTTCAGGCAATATCGAAGCATTCAAATATGAACCGAAATCCCAACGCACACGTCAGTCTGTCCCAAGGTAGCAATCAGCACTTACGTATCAATAAGTTAATAAGGTTCCAATTAACTAAGTGGAATTCTACTTGTGCTAACCAGGGAATCAATATCATTATCTCATATATTTCCATCTAGTTAAGTGGCGAGCTTTAAAGTAAACAGTCATTTTAACTGACTTCGTACACTTATCAATCGCTTTGGTTCGTATATTAGTTATAACGCGTACTAAAAGTACAATGCTTCATTTATGTATGAAATGAGTCAGTCACCCTTGATGCAATTAAGAATTCAGCTTGTTGAAAATGTTCTTCACAAAAACACAATATTTTTGAATTCGTATACTCATGTTATATATTAAAGTAACCGTACACTTCTGAAATATAATAAGTATAAATTCAATTGTTGACTATTTTCAACTGTCTGTTTATTTTCCTGTGACGTATTCACCACTTCCATGCTTTTGTATTGGGATTTATACAGGTCCATCATGTGAAGAAACGAATACTCTCCCTTTAACCTGCGATCTAGAGAAAGCATCGACATCTGCCCCTCCGGATATCTTGTTTGTTGTAAGCTACAGAGTACTTTCTTTTTATGTATTTAAAAAGAAGGTTTTTATGACGTATAAAATTTTAATATCAGAAATACCTGGTTAAAATGAGGACTCTAGAGAATACAGTTATTGGATTTTAATTGAATTCATAATGTTAAACTAATTTACCTACTGGCTAGAAAATCGACCCACTTGAACTAACTGATGTACCTGGGCGACCATATACAATTACTTGCATATATACATATGTAGATGAGCGACACCTATTGTATGAGGACTAGTAATTTTACCTGAATGCCCTGTCATGGGTAGGTGGAACAGGGTTTGGATCCACCACCCACCTATTATAATTTGACTGTGTAGGTTGAAAAGCCGCTAAACAAAATGATGTAGAGGTGATGTATGCTTGAGATCTCTTACAATACTTATGATTCTTTTGTTTATTGACTGTCAATTGAGTAATCTGATACTCCTTCTGGAGAAAATCAAAAGCTTGACTATATTAAAGTGTTAAGGTTATCTAAATCTTCTAATCTATTGAAAATTGATTCAATTGAATACATTTTAATATGTAAATAGCGTTTTTATGCACATATATCATCGACTGTTTCGTATTTCCCGAGTTTTCATATCCAGCTGTGGGTGTTTCATTACCAGGCTGCTTGGGTTATCGAGGGTTATGTGAAACATGTTGCAGATCAACGTCCTACCACTTACGCTCTTAGTATTCTATCGCAACCAATTATACTAGTTTGTTCGTAGCCCCTGATTCGTTCACTTAGAGTATATTGATACTGCGAACTAATCAGTTAGAGACCAACTAGTGTTGAAATACTAAATATTCTAATTATATTCGTGTTGCTGTCATTCATCATTCACAAGTAAAGCTTTCTCATTTTGTATTGTGATTTTGAAATGCATGAATTTTCACCTTTTTGTAACCAGTTGTTATGCATTACTCTACCTGTTTCATATTTCCAGGAATCACATCTTGTTGTAGATCATGGTTCAGGTAAACACAAAAAACAGAAGAGTAGCAAAAAGAAACGTAAAACGAAGCATAAGAAACGTCATATCAGTAGTAAGAAGCGCTCACGTAAAGCATCCAGTTCTGATGGTTGTTCTTCCTCATCTTCATCCTCCTCCTGACTGTGTATAAAAGATGACGGTTGTACATAAAATGTTATTATCATTGTTCTGTAGCGTACTTTCACTTTTTGATTATTCTCTTGTAAGGGTGGATTCTGCATATGATCCTTTTTTCTGACTGAAGTACAATGGTTGAATATGCAAAGAAAAGGCATGAAAATACTAACATAAACTAGCAAAACTGTTTTTCTTTTGAATTCATTATTCCGGATTTCTGGAGGGATATCGTCTAATTAAAATGGCTGAGCATAGAGATTTTTCCAGTGTGGTGTGTGGAAACAGCAAACGCTGGAAACAATCATGTACCTCACATTGAAGTAAACAGTGACTTTTTATGCTCAGCTCATATCTAAATGTCTAACTGCTATATTCCTCCCCCAGTTTAACAGTATTGTTCGCTGGATTTTAATTATTACCCTAATAACATAGCAAGGGGGAGGGAGAAATTGATAACTGAATCTTCGTTAGTCGGGTCAACACGAAATACATGCAACAGGAATGACTGACTACCTGTTACGCAGATATGAAAAATCGTATTACCCTTATTACAAAGGGGACGAGGATATTAGGAATGTATAAAGGATGTCTCAAAGTTGTGTACTTGTCTTGATATGACTATGGACAATAAATTATGTTTGAAACGTAATCCAGTAAACAATAGTTACATTGTGTGATAAATCTGATGAATCAACTAAAATGGATTTACATTCTACCACAGTGCACAAGGTTTACTCTGATATATTCCTCCCTGACTGTTTTCATATTGAAAGATTCAAAATTCTAGTGGTAATTTCACTCCATCGAATTTTATCGCATGTCGTGGTAAAGGGAGGTGATTCACTACCTCATTTGTGCTTATCTTTGAATAAGTACGTTGGTACTCGTTAATAAGAAACGAATCTGTAAATTAATTTTACCGGTCTTAACACTGATGGGCATATCGAATACTGGTTGTATTGTGTTCTCTGAGCTGGATTGTTTAATCGTGAAGCTTTCATCGTCTTTCTAGACGACATCATCAGCACTAACTTCAGTATCAAACATTGTTTTCAGGCTCTTCTTATTAGCCTACGACGACAGCCTATATCCAGCCAATATCATGAAAATAATATAACACATTTTCGTTAGACTATGCTCATGTTATTTATCCTTTACCATAAAATTCTTAATCATTGAATATTTTTCTTCTTTGTTAACCTTTTTTTAAGTTTTTCTCTCTCACAGTGATGTGATGAGTTTTAGTGAGGGAAATTTTCATCTGGGACTGACATCAGCTATTCTACTCGTGAGAACTGGCGACCGTTTGATACCTGTTTCTTCCTATTCTTTGTGATACCTTCCTAGTGGTGGAGAATATTTTTAACCCAGGTGGATATTCTTGGTTGTGTTGTGTACTTTAAGCTGGCTCAGAGTACACAACATAACCAATATACCTTATCAGTCCACACTCATGGTGTATCGTTAAATCACTGGATTAGCATTCGATTACTTTCGTTCTCCACCTTAATTATGTTCATGACGAAATCTCATGATCATTCAGTGTCATATGCGGATCTCTGCTCTTGCTTTCATTTGGTCTGAACCCCAGAAACCATGTTCTGTAATAGAAAAGTTAAAATACAATTTGTGAAGTGTAGGAATGGAGTAGCTGCTGTTCCTTCAGCTTTGATAGACGTCTGCAGGAACTGTAAACAAGGTGGGAAATAATAATGATCTATAGCATGTTTTATCTGCAATGTTCAGTATCTAACAATTCAACAAAATGATAAATGGCTGAAATTCATTTCAATCATTCATTTAGACAAACAAAACAGGTTTCTAGTTCGTTCTGTAATGTTCATTTGAAAAAACCTCTACCTACTGACGTATATGTACACACCCATATTTTCAAGACGATATCAATAAGTGTCATGTGAAGCATTATCGAGAAAGCAGAAGACAACTGACTCTATTTGGTACCCATGATTAATTTGATCTAGAAAAGTCACTTCCGGCCAGCTTCTTATAAGAAAAAAGAAGCACAGCAGTAAAGTCACTGTGGTTTAGTATATTATTTGTTGCTTCATCTTGTAAAAATTTGTTGTGCTTTTTTTGGTATCAGTTTACTACAAGATAGCTACTATTCAGTTGTGGTCGAGTCTATAACCTATGAGTAGTGTATTCATAAGCTATACTAAGTTGATATTCTAAGTAAATAAACCCCCGTAGCGGTTGAAAATGTATCCTGTCAACTTTAAATAATTGTGCAAGGAAATACCTAAGAAGGCCGTGTTTTGGCAGTCTGTTATTACTGACATGGGGTGGTGATTGAAGCTGAAATGGATCACGGTTGATTCTCACTAAAGATTATCTGCCTTTTAGTAAATTGACGACAAGAAAGGAAAGCAAATTGTGTACAAGAAGAACTGATTGATAGTATGCTAAACTACAGTGACTCTGCTGTTATGCATTTTTATCCCTGATCAAATTAATCACAGGAACTGAATAGAGCCAGCTATCTTCTGTTCTGTCGATAATGCTTCACCTGACACTCATTGATACAATCTTCGAAATATGGGTGCATATGTGTATCAGTAAGTGGTAGTATATTTTTCAAATGAATACAATAGAATAAACTAGAAACGAATTCACTCATTTATTCTGTAACAGTTAAGGCTATTCGGCATCTGTTCCATACATCTACGGAATTAAAAGGACTCTGAATTTTAAAACTGGAGAAACCTCGATAATAATAGTAGTTTGTTTGCGAAAGGTTATCCAATTAATAACATATTTTAACGTATTTAGTAAAACTTATATAGAATTACATCCTACTTACTACAGTAGTAAATTTGCTACAATTCCTAAGAAATCATGTTGAAGGCTACAGGGAAACAAGCTCAAAATTTCTGATTTCCGAAGTCATGCATACGATAATCACTTATTTTTTGAGAAAAAAATTGACTAGACCAAGTTTAAAATTTCGAAAAGTTCATACTGACTAGGTGTTCATCCTTTCTCAGGAACTTTGATACACGTTATGCGATTATAGGTCGGATTGCTACTCGGTAGTGTTGAGCTACGGGAAGAGTATATAGATATCTTTTAAACTACTAATGTACATTTACATGACCTAAGATCAAGAATTGACCGGGTTGCATCACAAATATTAGGTGCTGAGTAAATTCTTGACATTAGATGTAGTTTCTATTTGTGTAAGTGACATCATGTTTAAAACCAAATAAATCCAACGTTTTGCACACAAGTCTGCTCCGAGCTTTTCCAGAGAAGTAATCAAAATTAGAATATCAAGGAAATATAAATGAATCCAAAGACGTGTAGTTAATCTCCTTGTCCAATCCTCCTCGTATTGTCACTGTCCCTCTAAAATATCATAACTGAAATCTCTTGTTGCTTGGCTAGCGTGTGTGTGTGTGTGTTGTCATACATATTCTCCTTGCTTGTAAATAAGATACAAAACGGTAAAAGGTGAAATTAGAGTTGTTCGGTAATTTTACGAGTACAATAAAGCATATGAAGTCGATATGTATGTTCTGTTGATTGGTATATTGGGCTGAATGCTGTTTGCTGTTTTGTTACAGTGCCCCCATACTCGTCGTTATTATTATTATTTGTCTCTTTGGATCCTAGTGCAACATAAAGCTTCAGTAGCATGTCGCCATTTCACTCTTTTCAACCTCGCTCAACGTCTGCCCACAAGCTTTCATCTCTTGCTCACATGATCTCTATGTCACCCTTGCCTCGGACGCCCAACTCGTCTTTTCCCATTTGAATTCCACTTGACGGTCTGGTCTGGCTTGGTGCGTGATATCCCCAAATGGTCTTCTCAGTGTATGCCCAATCCATTTACACTTTATTCTGCATATTTGTTGGGCGATGGGTTCTTGATTGGTTCGCTGTCAGGCCAGAGTTCCTTGTTGCTTATTCTAATTATTCTGGCCATCTGATCTTTAGTATCGAGCCAGCGTAGGTGGCAGTTGTTGATGAATGTTTGTGGTTTGTTGGAAATGCTTTTCGTTACGCGCTAAGTTTCTAAACCATCACATAGAAACACTGAATTGACTGAATCAGTGTTGAGTGCAGTGCAGTAGATCTTCACACTGATTTCAGATTAATGCAGGAAGGCAGAAAGCAGCTACCAAATGCATTCATGATTACCACTATATGCATATTTGTCACCACTATGAATATTGGCTTGAAGTTTACTTCGACGATGATGCTTTGAATATCGCGCTTGTCACGTAGCCGGTTTAGAGTACGAGTCTGCGTTGTGTTATTGGAATATAGGCGTCGGGTTGCCGTCGTTTTCATCGAATTCATTGTAGGACCGTACGTTACTGCGTTACAATCCAAGTTAGCACACCTCTTAAGAACATACCAAGTAGGAAGGCAACGAAGTGGAAGATAAAGAAAGAAAGAAAACTTTTCTAAAAGAAGTAGAAAGTAGTAAAAAAGAGGAAGGAGGAATGAAAAAATGGTCATATTAAGTGTAGCGGTTGGGATATTACCAGTCACTTTTCGCATGTGATAATGACTTCGGTGGTCGGTAATTGGTGGCGATACATTCATGGATGATTAATTTATTCTGTATCACGTTTCTCTCTGGAAAGAATGACCGTTGTGGACAGAATTACCGAGAAAGGTTCAGAGGTATTTGTTTATCAATTCTAGTATGCTTGGTATGTGGAGTCTGAGAAACAATTGGAAATTCTTAATGAAAGCCTAAAATTCACAGGTCGACGAATTGGCATTTTGATGAGGTGGGAGGGCTGATTTCTTTTCTTTTATATTAGTCTTTGATGTAGAGACTAGTCTGTTCGATATTCTTCCCAGATTCTTAACCGGTATCTTAGATGCGGGAACTGAGAAGCTAGAAGAATGCCCAGTCTCTACTCACCGTTAGGTTGTAAAACTCTGGCTTGCTTAACTGAGCCTTATAGTGACTGGTTTGTTGGTTGGTCTCTTCGATATTATCTATTATACAGGAGAAAAAGGCAGTTGTGCCACTCCGTTTACCGATAATTCTATGAACATCCTTAGTCATAAGGAGTTTGAGGCGGTTACTCTACATCGTTTTCACGTCTGATCAATCCTGAGATGAAAGCATTTTCTAGTTTGATTGCGTACATCAAATTTTCATCAATCCTCTGATTGACCTAAAATTCAAAAGCGACACA